AGCATAGAATGTCGTAGTAAAATTGTTTGGACGATTTGACTATGGCGTGTATTGCCACAATAACTCATAATTTCTATTACTACATAATTTCACGACCGACAGAATATATCAATCTTTGAAAGTTCCACGGTCCCTCGAGTCTTGATAGCTTTCAGAAATCGAATTTCGCTTCCGGTTTACTTTCGAGACAAGTATCCCCTGCCACCAAACTTTTCGTCGGGTCAGAATGTTCTATTACCATACAAAGCGACGATTGCAAAAAACATTTGTCGACGTCTGGAACATTTGCGTTCCCATCTCTCAATTTATGTATCGAGCAAAATATTGTTTAATCGTTTCACCAAGCGACAATTTTAGCTAATATAGTTCACGGGCGTTAAAAGAAATTAAAATTCAGTAGATAGGCGCCAATAATTAAATAATTCGGATACTATTGCAACTGAGAAAAGCACGGAAATTATAAAGTGTTATATGCAACGGAGTGAAAAGAACGAGAGAAAATCGATTATATTCTTTTGAAAGGCTTTGAAAGGACCTTAAAAGCAGGAAGATATCGGATCCCCTTGGAAAGCGCTAACAGAGGAATTCAAGACGGTCGCTTACAGACCAATTTTTTCTGTTCTTTGTGAAAAAAAGTCATGAACAAAGTGTTACTTGTCCTTTTCCCATCGCGGCGAGTTGTTCACGAAGAAGGAAAACACGAAATAGCGGTTCGCTGTGCGATACTGACTTTGGTTACGAGATAATTGCGAATAAAAAGGTACTTTATCCTCGATTCGAACTTTCAATTTTATATTTAGATTCCGATCGTTTCGATGACGAAGTACACGCATGATGAATTGGAATGTGGGGAAATATTTTCCCAAGAAATGTACCGACCCCTCCAAACGAACCGCGAGTAGCTCGAGAAAAAGAGTTACGGTTCCCCCGTAAATTAAACCGCCCGTAATTCGTAACTTTCGAAGTGTCCACTACTTTGTTACCGCATTTTTATCTTCCGTCAGTACATACGTACGCTCTAAATGTCAACATTTACGATATACGAATGAAAAAGAAAATTTTCGATAATCGTCGCTTATCGTATCGGAATAACGAGACTGCTGGATCGAGTGTTATTATTATTGTACGCGGAAAGATCACTCTCGGAATACGCGTATAAATAAATTAAGCATCATTAACTATTTCATCGGTTTCATCGACGCGTCAGCGTGTTATCATTTCAACCAAATTATTTACGGCGACACTGTTGTCCCGTTTCGATAAGCTCATCATTATCGACATCGTCAATCGATTAACGCTCGATTGGCTCCTCTTTAATTGAAAACCGTCGTTCTTTGTTCGGATACGTGTATACTTCTATTCAACATGAGCACTCTTGTTTCGTGCATGGTAAACATGTTCTCAATCTACATGTAGTATCGCTAAATAATTCATGAACCACGCCAATTTACTTTAATACAGTTTCCCTTGAAAAGGGAGTTCTGTTGACGCGTCAAGTTACAGCCAATTTTGATTCGATACCGTATAGAATCTGTAGTAGTAATAATAATACCAATATACAGTAGTATAGTTCGGGACAGAAAAAAATTTTAACAAACATACGGAACATACGAGCAGATGAAAATTGAAAAGGAAGCCTGTATTAACAAATCAGCATAAAAATATTCTCGTATCTACTTAATAGGGTGTCCAATCTTTTCATCTCTGAGCGTAGCTGTGTTTTAATTAATTTAGCGAGAAACTGAAAGGAAAGGCTACATCCGAATACACGGTTTCCTCGAAATTCTAAAGCGTGTATTTGATGACGTTGGCACAATTTGTATAATTAGCAGAGAATGTAGTTTTCCGCGCGGAGCAAGGTATTTTGCAGACACCCGATGAGGAAAGCGGTTTATGGATCCTTGGGGGAGGTGAGGAAGTTGTCCAATCTTGGTTTTGATGTTTTGTTTCCTGAGAGTTCCGCTGATGCGGTGGTCCGTAGTACCTTCGATGCAGAGAAAAACAAGGGGTTTTCTACCCTCGGCCGTGTTTCTGTCCTTCCGTTCAAATTTTTTCGCAAATAAAACTTTCCTCGATTACTCTAGAAACGTGCAGTTTTCCTTGCAAAGATTGCGTCTAATATGTATTAAATTATTTTTAACTTTTTACTCTTTTTTTCCCCAGACAAATTTCTAAATGCTCGTCAAATTTGTTCGTTTCTTTCGTCGATTAAGTTTCTCTTTTAAATATTGAATCTATTCGGGATAGACGTTATGTTAAATTCTTGATCGTCGAAACGCGAACGGTTTGCTGTGCAACGAGCGCACAGGAGATGATTGAAATCTTCCTCCGTTTGTTCTTCCTATTCGATGCAAATCCGACTGTACCATCGAACACGATGCTTTGCCCGCCTGTAGTTAATTCTTCAATAGTTTGATTTAATCTTCGTTCTTTAAGTTATCCGCGTTGAGTCCAACGGGCTATCCGCTTCATCCGGCAATAAAAGAATAAAATCTCTTTTCCTACGGTTCTTAAGCCCCCTCCAGAGTGGATACTTGTGTTTACGTCTTCGACCATTGCTTTCATACAATTTCTCCTACTTAGCCTCGTTGAAGCGTTGTTTATAAGTCGCTGGGAACATTGATACCTTCCTTTCGTGTTCCTTTTATCCGATTCGGCCACTCTAAAAATTTATTTCCATCGTTTTCGATGGAATAATATATACGTTCGCGATGCGATGAAGAAATTCGTGTCGGGTTAAAGGAACTCACGATTAAATTATAAACAATTACGCGGCTTGGTGCCTTCTGAACTTAAATGCCGAGCGACCGTTAAAAGGAGGGCGTGGCGAGTTGAGGAAAGTTCATTGTCTATTTCGGTGTGCTAATTCGCGGGGCTTGAGCCGTTTTTAAAATTTTAAAGAGTGCCCGAATTTCGCCGGACAAGTACCATTTTAAACCTTCGCTTCGCTCGCCGCGGAGTTCCTTCTTCCTTTCCGCCCCTATCTCATAATTTTCACGATAAAAACCACCCATTGAATTTCTTCTCCGCGGCACACTCGAAACGACCGCGATGGGGGGAAAAGCTTTCTCGTTTTTGCAACTCGATTGCCTGGGTTTCTTGTTTCAAGTAATTTCGTACGCCCGCGATTTAGGCGTGCAACGCTTTAACTAATCGACGTTACCTTTGTTAAAAGAATCCGGATTATCCATCGATCGATTTTGTCCAAAATCTAATTAGATTCTTAGGGGACGTACCCAGGTACGAACGTGAAAAGAAAATACCTCTTTATTAGCGAAAATGTGACGAGGTCGAAGCACGAGTATAAAAAGGAAATTCTCGACATGTTTGGAATTTCCGCGAGCATACATCGTCATTTAGTAGCTATGCAAAAGTGACCTGGTATGCGACAGTGTATAAAAACAACTACTATGAGACCGCTAGGTATACATTTCGACGAGAATTCTGTTGGATGACCTGGTTAGTGTCGCCCCTAAACCGCTCTTTAAAAAACTTTTCGCTTTTCAAAGTTTCTTCTGAAATTGCAAGACAGCTGTGGAGCACGTGTTGCCCGGATAGAAGCAAAGCTAGCAACGAAAACGAGGTTTCGCCCTCTTCATAATCAGCACGCGTCTCCGACACTCCGGTTTTATAAAGCCACCCTGACGTTAACGAACGAAAACTATAACAGAACCACACTGCGATCAGCAATCATCGTTTTCTTAAAACACGGAATAGAGTGGATTTAGTCGTATATAAATGCCCGAAGCGTGATCGCGTTTTTAACTCTTTCCCGTAATAGTTTTAGGCATGGCTATGCCATTGATCGGAATTATTTTAGTTCGCACATCGGATGACGCACGCTCGATGAATTATTGCTCGGAAAATCCATAAATTCTTGCTTAAACGTGTTTATTTCGTCCACGTAGTTTATCCTGTATTTTTTATGGCGCCCGTGTCTCTTATTTCCTCTTGGATATTTTTCGAAACAGTTCCCGATATAAAGTTCTGATTCTCGGGAATCAAACATCCTGTGTCTCGCCTTTCATCTGTTTTTCTACTAGAACACACACCGGGGCGCACTTTACTTTGCACAGACACGAGGTAAAATTCTCCGGGCAAAAAGGTAAAAGATAAACCGTTTAATCGTGGCTCGTTAGAGAAAACGACAAACTTCAATTACGGAATGAAGTGTTTCGCAACAGATAAAACTGTAGCCGATCGAACGAACGTCAGTAAAGAATCGTTTCGCGTTCGATATTATTGATTATCTATTATTCGAATAAAATTTTGTCCGTCTCTGATCGGGGCGGGAATATCCCGGTAAAGCGAGCGTAACGGCGAAAGTGGCTTGCCGGGAATATCCCCGGATTTGGACGGGGCAGAATTAAAGTGTGTTAGCGGAGTGTTAAAAATGAAAAATCTTAACGAGTTCGCCATGGGCGTCGTACGTACATTGCCGGCAAAAAATTTGTAATCGATCGTTTCTACCAATATTCGACGACTATAAAAATTAATATTTTTAAACCGTACTTCAATATCCTCACCAATGTTTACGCCAAATAAACAGACTCGATACGCTTTTATTCCGCTAAAAGCAACGTTTCTCTGCACCGCTATCTATCTCTCGAAGGAAAAAAAAGGAACCGGATCGCTGTTATCCGCGTAAGACACGCGGAAGCGCAGTCCGGGAGGACCTAGGGAATTTTCGCGTCTTCGCCTGGGTTGTAAAAGATGTAGCCGGTGCATCGGAAAATAGGCCCGTAGAGGAAGGATCGAAGGTGGAAAATTCGCGATAGGTATGTACAGTCTGTGTACGAGAGGCGTTTCTTTTATGCATGAGCGCGCGAGCGTTCCAAAGCTCCTTCGGCCCGAATGTACTTGCGAATGAATAAAAAAAGTTGATGAGATTGTTCTTCCTGCACGTGATCGAACTCGATGTTTCCGCGTCGAAGAATTTCACGTCGTTTCCAGTTAAGGAATGCGCGAATATAATTGTTGAAACAGGTGAATCGGCGGCGATGATAGGTGCCAACCTGAGGTTCGGGATCGGCGCTTCGGGTAACGTGTCGTCGAACGCAACGAAGGTTTTTCAGTGTCACCCGGGTGGTGCCACCGAAGCCACGCTCATATTCAGCCTTGGAGCCCTCGGTATGGGGGCGAACTTTATGCTTATGGCTCTCATCCTGGCTAAACGACAGTTGCGCAGGTAATTCCATCAAGACTGACCTACTCCGTTATCATCGAACGTCAACGTGTAGCGACGATTGCAAGACCGTGTAAACTCTTTCGTTTTGATACTCAAACGCGTATACAGTAACGAGTCTTAAAATGAAACGCTTATATTTCCCTCGAGGGGATCCTCCTTGGAGCCAGTGAATTTAAAAAAACTGCTGGTGTAGAAGTTCATCTTACTTGAATGCTTAATAAAAAAAATTGATTTTTTGGAAGATGTAGAATAGCTCCTTAATAATGCAATTCGATAGTAAATCGTGTGTGTTCAGATGGTCGCAGGGATTACTGTTCCACCAAGCAATGGTGGATTGCGCGAGGGCTGCGATTTTATTGCCCCTCGGATCGAGCATACTAAACTGTCAGCCGATGACCAAGTGTTCCCTGGTCGAGACAGCGTTTCTCCTGTTGGTGACAGTTTCCACGGTGAATATGTTGACGACAGTACTAAACGACAGCCCGATTTTTCCAGAAACTGACGAGGAAGCCGATCTCACAGCACCCCTGCTCATGGACTCACCGCAGGCAAGTGTTTTATCTTCTCTTTATTTACGGTTTGTTTTCTTGCCGCATCGATTTCACTTAACCTATTTATTCTCAACGATCTACATGCGATGAACGCACACAGGGGCTGGGCAATGTAAAGCGTAATCAATTATTAGCACAGAAACTAAAGCAAGGATAACGACGCCATTATTTTTCCGTATTTCAGTGTTTGCTGGCATCCCGTCTATAATATATCGATAAAGTGACCAGAACTTACGACTTCGAAGGCTTTACGTTTGATTTAATATAGTTCGAATAGCGTATTAAATGTAAACGCGCGAAGAAATATGACGTTGCTTAAAGGGGCTTTCTCCTTCGGGTGATCGATGTAAAAAGGTTCCTTGACTATTCTTTTTTCGAGAAAAAGAACGCCCATCGACTCGAATCTTCTAACGATACGCGGACAAAAATTATAAAAGAATGTAGATACCTGTTCGGTTATTCCAGGAACATGTAATAAACTCTTAGCTACTTGGAAAAAGTCACGGTAAGCGATTCTTGCCTCTTTTGAAGCGTTCGAGGGCCTCCGATCTTTATACCGAGAGAAATTTGTTGCTTCTGACCCAATAATAACTCGTGATATTCCGCGAGAACTTTCAGAATTGGGCAAAAACTTTGGCAGAAACTTAAAAGATTACAATAAATCTAAAGATATCTCGTACAACTTTAATTTGATTTTCTTCCTTCGTTAACGTTCGATCTAATTTCCCAGTGAAACGGTACAACGATTGCAAAGGAATTCTGATAAAATGGAGTACGAAAACTCCAACGACGAAGCAATTTATTTAACAATAAAATTTTACCTCGGGACACTCCGTATAGAAATTTCGAAGACTAAGGAACTTTGATAATAGGAAAACTTTCGACGCAAAAGAGGGAATAATTTCTCAGCGAGTAAAATGCACAATGAAACGATTACCCGTAGTAATCGAACGACAATTTTCATTTGATCGAGAACTGTATCGACAGACAAGTCCTACTGTGGACTTCGAAATTATCGTTTAATATAAATTTTCACGTATTTGCGTGCCCGTTCGTTGTACTATAAAGTACAAATCGCGGAAACGGGGCCTGTATAATATTACAAGAACCGCGAAATGGATTTATAAATTTACATACACGAGCACGCGAAACACGAAATCCGTTAAGCCGATCGCCAAGTAAATATCGTTATTAAATTTAAATCGAACGAATAAATTTATTAAGTCGACACGGCGCGTATAAATCGATAAAGGCACGGGAACGTGTATCGGACGTTTGAGTAATTGAAAGTTTGATTGCTAAGTGTTTGGTTAATCGACGCGACGCCATAGGCGAGTATTGGTAACAGGGAGCATCAAATAAACGGTATGTCACAATTAATTTCGTTGTGAAAGCACGGGTATTCCACTGCGGACAGTTTACACCGCAATCGGTCGCCATGGACTTCGTTCTAACAATGCACGTGACGCTTCCATTATATTCTCTCGTTCCCTTCCTGCACTCCTCCCTGTTAAACCTCTTCCTATTTTCACTTCCGCTTCAGACAGAGAGAAACAGAGAAATCCCTGTATCAAATTCAGAGAGTACACGAGCCAATTTATACGTTTCCGCGACTGGGTTAATGTTCAAATTTCAAAAAATACGCAATATCAGACTTACATAGTATGTAGCAAAAGTAAATTAATAAATTCTATTTTTCTTAAATTTTATTCGACGCTGATACAAAATGGAACAACTAATTTTGTAGACTAAATCCACGGAATTTTCTATTTTGTTAATTGGAGGAAACGTCGATTGTTCAATTGAACATTGTAACAAAGTTCCGGATGTTGATCGGTCGTTTCGAGTTGTTCAAGCTTTTCCCGTACCGCGTACGTTTCTGTCATTTTACCGCATCATCCTCTGTAACGTATCATAAACCCAAATGTTCTACGGCCCTCCGCATCGTCGACCTGCGCGTCGCATGCGGTGAGGTGGGCGAAAGTCATAACGCGGAAAAGCTGCTGAATGGTGGACATTTCGGTCACTGATTTGACACTCGTGTCACCACCTCCGTACGACAATTTTACATCGAGTGTTCCGACAGTTTTCCGCCGAACAAAGGAACGAAAAGGTTTCTTTGTTTCCTGAAACTATCGGGCTAGAAAAAAAAACTGACAACACTCTGTGATCGAACGATCGAACGATCCTGTACTAATGAAAATTGTACACTAGTTTTCAGCGACAGTCTGCTAAAATGTAAAATTCGTCGAAGACGACCTTCTTCTAGATATCGCGAGATTTTAGTTTGCGTTTCGGGTATAGCCAATATTTTCACTTTCATTTTCGTAATTAGAGTCGAGGCAGGAACTAGAGAATCGATTGCTTAGACAAAGAACAAATATTTGCTGTTGACCGAGTTATCGCGCCTTCCTTCGCCTCAACTGTCGCGTTTCCCGCCGTGATACTCGGATCATCTGGAAAAACGACACTTCGCGGGCATCGATTTCGCATAATCTGTAATAACTAAAGCAACTAAGGCGGCATAATTGTTTTCAGTGCGTTTTATTTGGGACGTTCATGATATGGTTCGCGAGCATCACGATAAATCTGGGCCCAACGTTTCTAAGCGGTGCTCTGGCAGCGAATACGGAAACGGGACACAACGCTCCGAGTTGTCCACTGGTACACGGTCCGTTTCGTCATTACATACTGAACGTTCTTTGGATCGCTATCAACATGATTTGTGTTACCCTTACCCTCATACATCTTAGGAAACTGCACAAAGATCTCACTAAGGCCAACGACGAAGCGGTACGTACGCGTTTCGATACCCAGTTCATTATTAACGAACACTCCAGTTCGACGCATGCATTACTCTCTACCACGTGAAACTACTGCACAGTAAAATATTTTTATAAAATATTCGATATCGAGGACCGTAGGGCAAATGAAAAAAAAAGAGAAACGCGATCCCTAGTAATTATTGAGGACGTAGTCCGTTACGTTTCGCGTGGCCCATCCTCGCACTAATTTTAATTATGATCTATTCAATCGTAATCGAAATTTTTTATTAGGTAAAAGTAGCACTGCTAACAATTCTCGTGAACACAACGGGTAACCAGCAAACAAACGCGGTTCCTGAAAATTCTGCTGCATCTACGAATGGCACGCCCAAGGTAATGATAAAAAAACACAAAAGCACTTTATTCCAATAATCATGCACTCCTTTTTCGACGTCGACCTTGGCACAATTTTTAGAATCTTTCAGGTGAAACGTCAAACGGATATTGAGCATTTCGATAGATGGGAAACCGGTATCGATTAAAGTATCAATTAAGGGGCAATTCTACCTTGTAGGCACGAAAAATACATGTTTCTTTGTGATTTTTTTTGCGGACTATTAAAGGGCGATTAATTCCGGGATTTGTAGATACATGTATTATATATTTAGCTGTATTTACGAATTTTTGCAACGCATAATATCTATTGATTACGCTGTTTTTGTTGATCAACAAACAACAGTTTTTACGAACGCCGCCCGACTGCGTATGTGATATTTTGCGAACAAGTTATCCGAAATCCAAAAACCAACGATATTCTTAATATAAATGAGTGTAGTTATAGCATGAACTAGAATCTTTTCAAAAAAACAAGAAATGGCAAAATGGCAGCTATTTTACGAAAAAATACTGACTATTTTCATAGTTTCGGTTGCTTTTTTATTAATAACAGAAAAAGTATTGCATATATCGCAATTATCCTAGTTCATGCTATAGGGAGACCAGTTTTAAAGATACTGTATAAATTTCATGTTGATATCTTGAATAGTTTTTTGTTATTACATACGCAGTGTCGAAAAATGCAGTTTCGAGAAAAACAACTTTAAAGTTTCACGTCCAGTTGTTATACCTGCGCACGATACATTCAGCAGGCTATAACTTCGTTAGTTTTTCAAATTTCAATTTAATATTTGGTAGATATATTTTCGAGACTATATACTAAAAGAAAATGCAAAAAAAATTCGATTTTTTAAATCCCACAAAGTAGAAAGTCCCCTTAAGATAACAGTTACAGAGATCTATCGCGAAGTTATCGGCGTGCGTTGTATTGGTCTAAGAAGGGACCATCCCGAGATGTAAATCTCCAATCTTGATGAAACTTTGCAATTTTGTAGTTCTCATGAATCTATTAGACACGTATTTTTTGTAGCTGCTAATATTCACTTTAAGGGGTTGAAATTAGCCCTCAAAGTTCGGGTTCAAAACATACTTTGTTGAATATCTCGGAAACTATTAGAGATAGGGGTGTGCTTCAAATGGATGAAATTTATGTTTTTAAACGGCGAATTTGATGGTGTAAAGAGATTTGCAAAACTTTTATTTGTTTAAACAATATGTTAAAAAATAGCACATTTTTTTATTTTTCTCGTTGGATACTCCATTTGTAATAGAGAAACTACACATCCATGTACAAAATACGGATAAATTGGAATTTTGATTTTTTCAAAATAAAGAAAGATTTTATATTTGCAATTTTTTTCGTATTTCGTGTTGTACGAAGTACCAGATCGCATATAATACGACAAATGTTATTGTCTAATGACTTTTGTTTAATTATATTATAGTATGCTTTGCTGGCTGATCTCAAAATGGTAAAAATTTCGGTCTAATGACAGGTATTACGTTTACCTGCGCTGCGCTGCGTACTAAAGGGCAGCGTGTAAGCGTAAGTAAGGTTTCGGTTTAACGATTACAGGACCTGTTTATGAGTGTGATACTTTTATTAAGGAGTCTTTACTGAACAAGGGTCGTTTTAAATATTAGTTGGTTGTATCTTATGTTCTGATTTTTTAACGTCAGGTAGCTCTGAAAAGAACTGTTTCATTTTCGACCTTTGCTGATTTCCAAGTGATCGTAATTTGGTTGCAGTTGCTACATTCGTCGTTATAAATACTACTCTTATGTCATTATCATGGATTGCTGTGTTTCGATTACGTGTTCCTATGAATTTCCTCAAAGTTTCCTTTGCAATAATTTCCAATTTATTAACGCGGGTACCGCCTTTATTTACCTGTTTCTCCCATCTATATAAATGCCCTACAGACTTCACCTTTCTGTATCTATTTCTTACTGTTTGAAATGATAAACGTTTCCGTTTCCTACTTTTCCAAAAATTCACAACTTCTTCTTTATATTGGATATCTATGTCTTGCTCACCTTCGATTCCTCTTCATTGTCAGGCGAAGTTCCTGACTCTTGATCAGTTAATTCCGATGTTGAAGGAGTAATAGTTTCCTCTTCATCTTCTTGCGTCAAATTTTCAAACACTAACTCCTGCTCTGTTTCAATGAGTGCATGTTCCGACAATTTCTATTTATCTATTAATTCTATGATGATTTTAGATAACTCAACCTCTTTAACATTTGCAGGAGTTTTGTTCCTATCACTAGAATATTATAACGACGAATGTAACAACTGCAACCGAATTACGATCACTTGGAAATCAGCAAAGGTCGAAAATGAAACAGTTCTTTTCAGAGCTACCTGACGTTAAAAAATCAGAACATATGATACAACCAACTAATATTTAAAACGACCCTTGTTCAGTAAAGACTCCTTAATAAAAGTATCACACTCATAAACAGGTCCTGTAATCGTTAAACCGAAACCTTACTTACGCTTACACGCTGCCCTTTAGTACGCAGCGCAGCGCAGGTAAACGTAATACCTGTCATTAGACCGAAATTTTTACCATTTTGAGATCAGCCAGCAAAGCATACTATAATATAATTAAACAAAAGTCATTAGACAATAACATTTGTCGTATTATATGCGATCTGGTACTTCGTACAACACGAAATACGAAAAAAATTGCAAATATAAAATCTTTCTTTATTTTGAAAAAATCAAAATTCCAATTTATCCGTATTTTGTACATGGATGTGTAGTTTCTCTATTACAAATGGAGTATCCAACGAGAAAAATAAAAAAATGTGCTATTTTTTAACATATTGTTTAAACAAATAAAAGTTTTGCAAATCTCTTTACACCATCAAATTCGCCGTTTAAAAACATAAATTTCATCCATTTGAAGCACACCCCTATCTCTAATAGTTTCCGAGATATTCAACAAAGTATGTTTTGAACCCGAACTTTGAGGGCTAATTTCAACCCCTTAAAGTGAATATTAGCAGCTACAAAAAATACGTGTCTAATAGATTCATGAGAACTACAAAATTGCAAAGTTTCATCAAGATTGGAGATTTACATCTCGGGATGGTCCCTTGTAAGTGGCAGAGACGCGTGAAATTCGTTAAGAATTCGCGGCGACGGAACGATACACCGCGCAAGAGAAATATATTGAGACACCCTGAAACAAGGCGTCGTATCGTTCTACTATAAAGAACATGTGTCGCTTCAGAGGGGCGGAGCGGCAGAAGAACACCGTAAATTAAGGAACTACTTAAAGCGGATGGACAGCGAAGGCGTGCAGAGGGTGAAAATGTTTCTAATAATCACGGCCGCGTACGGTATCTTTTGGGGACCATTGTTCTTTGTCACCTTGGTGGATCATCCCAGCATAGGGAATCCCACCGGCTACGAGGTAACTAGACAGATCGTTTTCGAAAAACCACAGTCATTTTAGTCATTTTTAAGTATCGTTCGTTTAGTTTCCCTATAATGTTTCGATTCTGCAAGATCGTTAGGTTGATTTCAGTATGAGAGATTGCAAGTATTATAGATGCAACAACGACGAAAAAAGTAGTATCGTTTTTTGGTCTCTGTTTAAAAAGAAAGAAAAGAACCGGTTTGCATAATATTCGGCTTAAAAGGATGGGACGCAAGCCCGTATTTCACGTTTCCATTAATTGACTTGCAGGTGACATTACATATCGCATACATTCACGCATTCGTGAACCCGGCACTGTTTTTGAGCCTCCATCGAGGATTGCGACAAGGATTGTCAGAGTTTTTCTGTGGGTGCTGCGAAAGCATCGCGAGTTGGATTCTGGGTCCAAGCATTCCTGTAGAAAGCGTCCAACCCCCACGATACCAGGAACCTATTGAAGCTGTGGCTGTGCCCTCACCCCCGGAACCGCCAATGGCACCACCCAACACGTGTCCGGATCTCACTGACATCGCCCTCCTCAAACCACCGCTGCCACCGACAGGAAAACATTTACTGGTATTGAAAATATTTTTGCATAAGTTCGAGAAACTTTCCCCCGCCTCGCCATGGAACGAGCACGGACTGCTTTATAATCTTTTCGCTTTGAATGCCTGACCCAGTTGTTTAACGCGAAATGATTTAAGGCTTTTACAGCACGTGCTTCGATTAATTTACTACCGGGAAGATTAAACGCGACCGATACTTCGTTTAACGATGTTCGAAAACATAACGAATCTTCTATCAGAGCGTTCCAAACGAAATTACGTACAGCCGCTGTTGCTTCGCGTTGGTTTATCCGATTAACCCAAATAAATATTTTCTTTTCTTTTTTTTTTACCAAGTATCGAGTTAAGTAACGAATTCTCGAGCTTTTTATCGGAGGACTCGTAAAGATCACCGCAATGCTTTACGCGGTCTGTGTACTTTTCGCCATTTTATGTAATCGCACAAGCAACCCCTACAACACGACCCTAAACGTAGAATAGAAATTTGTTAGTTTTTATCTTTCTCAGCGAACTGTGATTCCAAACTATGAATTAAATAGAGTTTCTTTCAGAATGCTTGTAGCTTTCGCTTCGATTCTTTTATTGTCAGCGCGATGGGAAGGAACATAGTGCACCTTGATTGTTATTCAGAAAAGTTTGCCAGCGTAAATTGCATGGTAAATAATCTCAGCAAGTTACTCGATATTGTGTGTCACAAATAAAAGTGTTGGTTTCTACGGTTTCTGTTTAAGATTAACTAAAGTCGTAATTAATCGCGGAATTAAACGTGCAGGACGACTCTATGATCATACCGCCGGATCCATGGGCCCTGGTTTCGAGGTCGAAAAGCACACCGACCACTTACGAAGCAGACACTAGTAGAAGATCGAGCATTTTGTTACCTCCGCTACCGATCTTAAACGATTTGGTCGTAAATGTTACTCCAACCAGCAGCGATTCTCCTAGCGAATAAGTTATCGGTTCTAATTGTAAGGTAAGGAAATTCTGAAAGAAAAAACTATTCGTAAAATTATTCGAGAAAATTTTTTATGTTTCTGAAGGGGCATTGATTTCCCTCCGAAATAATGAAAAGCAGAGGAGAAGTCCTAATTATAATTTCCAAATTGTATACCTTGTAAAACACTGGTACAAACATTTTTTAGAAATTAAAAAATTATTTACGGAAAAACGTTTTCAAAGTTCGTCACGGAAATTCCGCTATTAAAATGCTTCCATAAATCTGCTACGCTCGAAAGTTTGAAAACCGTGGCAAACATTCCTCTAAAAACAATAGGCGGCGAACAGAAAAAAATTCTTTAAAAACGGATTATCGAAAAGAGGCAGAAATATTTCCGAAAGTTGCCAAAGTATACGTAAAAAGGGTTACATAGGTCCATCATTCGCCAACTTTATGCACGTTTTCATGCAAAACTTCGCTTTTAGATGATTATATTTAGGTAACGGCAATAAATGTGAAACAGAGAGCCTAGCGAAACAGTAGAAAACCAGAAAGTCATCGGCAACGATAGTTCCTTAATGTGAATCGAAACAATATTAGACGCACCAATTAGGTATTAACTCATTAATTAGGGGATACGTTAGCTAGTTTGCACCTTTAAATGAGCTTTCCACTCAACTGGGGACTCAAGTGATCGAGAGCTTTTGTCTCGATTATTAGTATATTGTATTATTTACTACTGTCATTATTATATACTTATTATACAAATATATACATAAATACCGACACATATGTACATACACGGGGCGTCCAATAAACTATAATAAGCGTATGTAAGTCCTTTATCAATGATCTTATACTGTGATCTAACACTGTCGAACCTCGATAATTGCAGAGAGGAAGGAGACTAAAAATTCCTGGAATTATTGAGATTCATGCAATTATCGGGGCAACCTTTCCAGTTCGAACAAAACCCACTTACACGGATCAGAATTAGCCGGATATAAGAAACAGATTAAGGTATGCGTTAGTTTTTATACATATATTCGAGAACGGAAGCGTTTCTGTCTCGGTTTTTATCGCTCGCTGGATGGGTCCATCAGCTAATGGAAATTTTAACTTGCACAGTTTTCATTGTACCTTTATGAAAGTATCGCTAATGGATTGGAGAGGTTTATCTGATGAAAATAAGCTCAAACACGACCTCGTTCAAACTATTTTTGATCGTGCGTTCCTCGAAATTTTTCGAACGATTTAAACGACGTGTGAGTAATGCCGTGTTTGAACTCGTTTAATGAGAAATATCTGGCCAATCCGATTATTATACTTTCACGAAGATATAAATTGTAATTTTCGATAACGAATGAAATTCGATCCGGCGCGCAATTAGGGTTGTTTGGTCACGCAAATCGGAGGATCTAATTAACGCTAGATTTATTTCAAATTACAGAACACATAACTATTATTTCTCAACAATTCACGTTGTATCTCAATCTTAAAAAAATTAAAAGATGCAAACAATATCTGCAAATCTAGTATTAAAGGTCAATCATGGTCGTGATTCCGTTTCGTATATCCGGGCAATACTCTGCACCTCCGCTATCTACGGTCGCAACTACCTATCGCTTCCACCACTAACTACACTCGTTGCAAACTGACCCCACCCTCCTTCCCCCATCTACTTGTCAACACAATGCAGCTAACGAGATTCTCGTGTAAACATCGAGGTTGCATTCTATCGATATTCCATTGTACTTTTGAATTACACAATATTCCCCACCGCGCTTAGAAAGTATTTCTTACTATGTACCATCGAGAAAGTGAAGGGACTCGAGGGCGAGAAAATTTGTATCGGTTTTTTGTAAACGTCTCACCAGTGTTTTATATTTTTGTAAGGCCACATTCTTGTGCAAAAGTAACCACAAGACCGAATTATTTTCGTTGCATGTACCAGTTTTACGATTCTTCGAATAAATGTTACTTTTTACGTAGATTTATGATTACGGAATTCGATTTGAACGATTACTAGAAAAGAATCCAGTAATTGGAAAACGACGAGACATATTATATTATAGTTACTTTATTCGACGGAGATAAAAAAAAAAAAACAAACTAAACAGCTTTACGAATTAATGCATTAAGAGCATTTTGAATTTAAATGTGGATCTCTATCTTTTAGTGTTATTACTTATGTATAAACTTGATGTAACGATCATACGATGTTACGTTATAAATCATGTTATTTATTATGTATTTCACGGTGTTTTGTAATAGGAGGTGAACTGAAAATTTGACAGGAAGAATCGGTGAAATTTACGGACAATTTAAAGACTGTGACGTATTTTATGGTTTGCGGAATGTTCTGTCACGTCAATTAAGTATTACGCAAAGTATCATTTGTAAAAACATTGCACGTAAACGTTTCCCACACACATTTAATGTCAAAATAGGATACATTAAGACTTGAGAAACTACCGCGTGTATGTGTATATGCACGTGAATATATGTTTACATACATACGTGCATATATATAAGTACACATATATTTTCTATGCAAAACTTTAGGGATTTCCGGACGTAAGATCTCTATTATACTTATTCTCATATTGGAATACGAGTTTCGATGAACGAATCACACGTTCGAAGTCTGAAACTATATTTGGGCGTAAAATAGAACTAACTTGGGAGACCGCCCGTCACTCTTGCTCTGTTTGGAGAATGATAACGTTGGGCATTATTTATTGAAAGTATCAATAACAATAACTATTTAAATAAAACGCTACTTTTTACTTTGGCTATATTTTAAGTTTGTTTAGATGATCACTTTCCTGTACTTATTTTGTAATAATTCCCGTTATTTAGAATTACAAGCTCGAGCGTGCATGTTACTGATCAATTACCCCAGTAGGGAAGTAAATCAAGTTTCATTCGGTACATCTCACTGTTTCACACTCTCTTTTGTAATATAAACACACGCCGAGTAAGCCTCGCTCAAAGAGGAGATACGAGCGATCGAATTTCAATTTCTTTAGTCTCTAAAGCCAGCTTCGCATACTGGATTATTAGCCAAACATCTGATGGCGCATCAATGAATATCGAATATTAGGATAGAATGCTCGATTCGCACCATAATTTCAGTACATTCACACGAATAGGTCTTCGATCTACAAGCTTGTGAATACGAATAGTATGTCACGTTATTTAAAAAATGATTTTCTATAGTCACAGTAACAAAGTAAAAAAGCCTTTTATTTTCGACTCATTTTGATAATAATATATAATCACTCCCTAAGAAGAATTGCCCGAAAGTAGTCAAACGCTCTATACAGAATGTTCGGTCACCCCCGGGAAAAATTTTAATGGGAAATTCTAGAGGCCAAAATAAGACGAAAATCAAGAATATCAATTTGTTGATTGAGGCTTCGTTAAAAAGTTATTAAAAAATTAAATTAAAAAATTTCAAATCATTCACGGAAAAATTATTTTTGGTTGCGAGAGTCAATTACAATCAGTTTTGGTGAATAGACATACCCCCAAAATCCTACGCGCTTTCGAGAAAAAAATTCGAGGAGGTGTGAAATTTTTCGACAAAATTAAAAAATTTCATATCGTTCTAAAAAAATTATTTTTGGTTGCAGGGATCAATTACAATCATTTTTAGTCAATACACATACCGTCGAAAACCTACGCACTTTCGTGAAAAAAATTCTTTACCAAAAATATAATTTCTCTGGCCAGAAATGCTTCCTCGAAATTTCATGCAAATGTTTAAAGTATCATAACTTTTGAACGGATTGGAGGATTTTAATGTTTCGAAGGGGAAATAACGTGTATTTTGGCGAAGAATGTGTAGAAATTCCAAAAATATTCGTAAGGTTCTTCCTTGACCTCGTAAAATGAGAAAAACACCTTAAAAATGGTCCAATTTTCAAACGGCCATAACTCCTACAATAGTGCATATATTTCATTGAAATTTTTTTCTGAAGTAGTGCTCATGGGCACCTACAAAAAGGTATTAGACAACATTTCCGTACAGCGGCAAACAAATTTGTCAAAAATAAAAAACGAATTTTTAAGAAAAATCGGCAGGTGCCTTTCGGCGAAAAAATTTTTTTTCAAATCGTTCTGAAAAAATTATTTTCGGTTCCTGGTGTCAATTACAATAATTTTTGGGGAATAGACATACACCCGAAATATTACCCACATCCGAGAAAAAAATCGATAAGGTGTGAAATTTTTCGACAAAATTAAAAAATGTCAAATCGTTCTAAAAAAATTATTTTTGGTTGCAGGGATCAATTACAATCATTTTTGGCCAATACACATACCCTAGAATTCCTACGCACTTTCGAGAAAAAAATTCTTTACCGAAAATATACTGTGTGGCCGGAAATGTTTCTATAACTTTTTAGCGAAGCCTCAATCAACAAATTAGTATCCTTGATTTTCGTCTTATTTTAGCCTTTAGAATCTCCCATTAAAATTTTTCCCAAGGATGGCCGAACACCCTGTATATGTATAGTATTTTATAAACGAAATAAAAAAAAGTAGAATGATGAACGATTTTAATTGCGAGCCACTGTGCATCGAAAGTTAGATTTCCACGATTTGTACTTGAAGGTTTTCGGGTATAAATTGTATTCTATCAGAGGAGTGGTCCAGCATTGCAGGGGCTGAGCACACTGACACCGATAATACCCTGACGCTGGCACTGATAACAATCCTGGCAAAATATCAGAACACGGTTCCAAAAAGTTACGGCTTCCAACCGGAAGTTTCGAACAGCATGACTTGCAAGAACTCAGTCCGTAAAAGATGCAACTCCCGGTAACTTGAAAACGTAATTACTATTTCCGTTATCGTAACAGTATACCGGGAGGAATAAGAGAAAAGAATTATAGGGATCCATAGAGAAAACAATAAAGTATGTTGGCAACCGAATACTGTCTTTCCTTTGATAAAATAAAATTGTAAAAATTGCTACTCACCTTCGCTTTGCGACCAATGTTGCTACAATAATTTTAAAGGACAAGTATTAAATTGAAATAAAATTTTCATATTCCCTCACCCCTCAAAAGGGTACTTTTAAAAAAGCATCGATGTTTCAGTAAAATATATAAAAGAAGCGCGAAAAGTTATTAAATGTGAACAAATGTAGCCTCAAGCGAGACTTTATTATAGGATTTAAGTTTTTTCTTTGCCACTTTGTCCCATCTTCAACGAAACAGGAAGTATGAAGAATTTTAGTTGTGTGGTTCATTTTGTACTGTATCGAATAATATTAGTTGGAAAAATAAATATTCTATTTTAAATCCTCTTTTTCAATGAATTTTCAATAATCTAAATATACTTTCAGTCTGTAGCATAAAACTATCAGCTAGTATAAAATAAAATTAAGTCCGGAATCCCTGAAACAATGTCAATTTCTCTTGAAAGACTTTCATTAAGAAACGCGGAGATAAGAAATGTTACGAGTAAGTTTAATTATTAATTATTAATTAAAAATGAATGTTAGCCAAACGATGATAGATTTAAGAATATTAATTTAAGTTCATTAATAACCGGTGCTTGGCAGATTTAATAGACGCATAACGGAGAACGTCGGTCAAATTGATTGCAATATTTATATCGCTAATTATACAAGCACTATTTGCGTTTATAAAACTAATCGATGTCATTAAATGTGTAAATAAAAATAGATTACCTTTGACAGCAGCAACTGTCTAGCCTCCCTATCCTATCATTTACTTCAAATAATTTCGCAAATAATGGATACAATTAATTATAATAATGCAAAATGTTAATACCGGTAGAAGTAAGGGCGCAGAGTAAATCCTCCTCTGCACCTCGTTTTTAGCGAACGAATAACTATACTAAAAGTGATGGAAAAGAACACGGCGTGAGCTACCTCACCAGTGAATAGATCTGTTGCATCTCACTGTAGGTAAATTATTATCTATGCCGTCAACTTCAGCGGTCAATAAGTAAAAACTTTGATAAACAGTAAGTTCAAGAAAATAACAAACGTAATATTATCTTGCAGGAATTACTTATTAAATGGTCTATACCTCTATACATATATCGTTACAAAAAGGCTTACCTGTTCAAAGCCGCCCAAAATTTCCGTAGTGTCTATTGCAGAATTTATGACGATTGATTTCAGCTTTTGTCCAGCCAAATTCGCAAGAAGACGAACGAGACTGCTCTTCCCGCTTCCAGATTCTCCGATCTGTTGCAGAATTAATATAACAAAGTAAAACTAAGTATAATAGCACTCTATACAGGGTGTTCGGCCACTCCTGGGAAAAATTTTAATGGGGGATTCTAGAGGCCAAAATAAGACGAAAATCAAGAATACCAATATGTTAATGGAGGCTTTGTTAAAAAGTTATTAACGTTTAAAGTTCCGCCCGTACTGAATTTTTTTCTCGAAAATGCGCAGGATTTCAGGGGTATGTCTATTCACCAAAAATTATTGTAATTGACCCCCGCAACCGAAAATAATTTTTCCAGAACGATTTCAAATTTTTTTTTTCCGTCAAAAAATTTCACACCTCGAATTTTTTTCTAGAAAGTGAATAGGATTTCGGAGGTATGTGTATTTACCAAAAATTATTTTAATTGACCAATGCAACCGAAAATAATTTTTCCAGAACGATCTGAAATTTTTGAATTCAATTGTTAATAACTTTTTAACGAAGCCTCCATCAATAAGTTGGTATTCTTGATTTTCGTCTTATTTTGGCCTCTAGAATCCCCCATTAAAATTTTCCCAGGGGTGGTCGAACACCCTGTATATTATTTTTATTTAGTACTTAAAGAATATTTGATTTTTTAAAATGGACAAAAAGATTATCCTTTTCGAAAATATATCGGATAGAATAAATACGGAATAATATGTACGTCATAAAGTAATTAGAATCTATACATTAAGTAACTTTTTCGTAACTATAATAGTTGAGTATTTCAAACAGTACTTACGAGAATGGACATCCAGTTCATGTTGATACACTGTACGAGACCTTTGAGGGTAGTTTTCTGTTCCCTGAGAAGCAGCAAATCGTCGTCCCCGTACACCGCGGAATCACTACGATCCAACGTTTCATCCCCTAAGAAAACCTTTTCTTTCGTCAAATGGATCGGAAATTTTCGATCTGGCAGAGGATAATCGTCCAACGAGAATATACTATTGTATACCTCGATCACCTATAATTTTAATGTTTTTCGATATGACAGGCCAATTCACGTAGCGATACCTCCATTACAATATACTGAAAATATTAATGATTATTATAAACATCTTACCTTGCTTTTGTCTTCATTTATCCTCATTCTGTCAACATAAAGTAATTGAGCGCCTTTTCCAGGATTAAAGGTCTTCATTGAACTCCGTTTGAAAGCTGCCATGGTTATTTCGCACCATCTGGTAACATCTCGAAGATTCATCTCCCAAGGCGATCCCGCGTGTGCCCATGTAATTCCCACTTCAGAACTCAACTTTTCGTTAAACATAATCATTTTATTCAATAAATCTTCTGGCAACTCCGAAAATTGAGCTTTTAAAATAAATTTCAGATCACCCTGCTCAAGCACATTCACAAAAACCTGAAAAAAGAAAGTCGTAGCTTCGATTAATCTCTGTAATAAAATGAAATCATAAGAAATGGCGTAGCTAATCGTGTTAAACAATTATCTTGCCTACATTGGGAAACTTCGTAATTTTTTAGCGTCTATACGTATGAAGTATTAACTGAAACGAATAAACGAATTTACTCACCTGAGTAAAACGATTCAAAAATGACTTTGGAAGCCCCCTTCTAGCTCCACCTTGACGGAGAGGATTCTGACAACCAAATAACCGAGTGCCTGGTTTCACGGCAAAAGTCATTCCTAACTCTGGAATGTAAATTTCGCCGCGATGATCGAGACAAGCATTTAGTCCTTCAAGGACAGACTGTGATGCAAGATTTAATTCGTCAAGAAGTATCCAATCCCCATTTTTAAGGGCCCTTAGAAAAGGTCCATCTCTCCAAGAAAATTCACCAGGCTTTCCCCCCTCAATTGGTAAATCAGCTCCAAACAGATCCGAAATATCCTATATAATATTTCAAATATTTGCAGCAGAAATAAAATTATTTATAAAATAGAACTGAATTTATTGAACAAGTATAATTAATTAAATATATGTATAAGTAAATTAATAAATCATTCTTTTTAACATTAAAAATATTTACCGTTTGATCACTAAGGTTCAGTCGAAGGAGACGGTGTCCGGAAGCTCTCGCAAGTGCAGAAACCAAGCTAGTTTTCCCAACTCCGGGACTACCTTCCAACAAAATTGGCTTCGCCAATTGTAGGGCACGCAATATTTTCAAAGTATTTATTTTGGTCATTGGGCTCGTAAAAGTAAATCCTGTGTCACGTGGAATTTGTTCATCGCCCTTTTTTATATAAAATGGAGGGATTCCAAATTTATCCCCATGATCTTCAACATCAGACTCCCCACAGTCCAGTAGTAGCTTAGACTTTAATGTATTTTGTACTTGATATTCAATGAACTTCAATGCTGAACCCTTAAAATCCTTAAATTTCTTTGAACTAAAAAGTATATAGTATTACTTGTTATAAAACAAATTAAATGAATTTATTATGAAAATTAATTTTTTTTTAAACAAAACTTACTTTTCTGTGGCAGTCAAACCGGCTCCGAGTCCATCGATATAACTTAACGCTGCACCATGGAAGAAAGCATCGCCCATTTCCAACCCTTCGCAACAATTAACAAAATTCACCCATGTAAGCACATCTCTGACACTCACAATAAGTTTCTTTCCTATTTCTGTTGTTTGTAGCCAATTAAGAAATTCTATTATTGCTGTAGAAACGCTTTCCTTGAATTTCTGATTTAGATTGTGTACCATAATGCGTCTAAGATCATCTAACGAGGCACAACCTTCACACCAAATTTCGGTAAATCTATTTCTAAGGGCTGGCGAAAGCTCCTTTTTACCATAATCGCCCCCAGGATTCATCGTACCGACAAAGATAAAATCTTCATTTGCAGTGACTGTTGCATTTTTTTCGGTCGACGGTTTTTCGGCAATCAAAAGTTTACGTTCAGGTTCTAAAAATAGAAACAAATTAATCGAATTAAAAAGAAAGAAATAATAAATTTTATACGATACATGAATTCAATATTCGTCAAATAGATACGAGCTTCTCTTTTTATCGTATAAAATATTTTCACAAAGAAATATTTGTTTCCTTCGAATCCATTTCGGTTCTCAAAGTTTTATACTGATATTATTTAAATTGTAAAATTAATTCAAGAAATACTTACCTAAAAGAGAGTTTAGTCGCTCAAGAACACTATCATCTGCTAAAGAGATTTCATCTACTAAAAAGAAATCGCCATTTTTCATGGCTTCCACCAAAAGGCCATCTACCCATTCGAACAGTTTCTGACTTTCTTTATGGTCTCTAACAGGACGGAGACTTCCAAGGAAATCTGAAGCTTCTGTGTGCATATGACAATTAACGATACTAATTTTTTGTTGTCTAATTACTGACAGAAGTTGACAAACTGTAGTTTTGCCACCTCCTGTTTCGCCGATCAAGAGAACTGGCTCTTTAAAATCGCAGGCCTTTGTAAGAAGCACCGCCATTTTACGCATTTGGAATGTCCAAACTAAGTGCTCAAATCCTGGTATCTTCTTCGACAGAAGAAATTCCAAAATTGGTTTGGTTACAGGAGAAGTCTTCTCAGAAAGTGAAAATAGAGAATCTGGATCGACATCTCTTTTCAAATGTTTTTTCAAGACCTGTATAATTTCCGAACATTCTTCTGGATGACGGACCTTCGAAGACAATACCAAATACCCTTCATCGGCTAGATGTTGACTCCAATCATACAAAGTGCCTTTAGTATCAGGTGCAAGATGATATCTTTCAGCCCAACGGAATAAGTCTCTAAGCGTTATAAACCCTTTTTTTCCAGCAAAGGTCGCGGTGCTCTTTCTTCGAACTTGAAGTTCCGTCATCACATTAATTACTTGTTTGCAGTATGTTTCCGGCATCTTACATCTTTTGTGTAATATTACTTGAAGCTCTTTCGGCGGAATTTCATCGAAATGTAGTTCAACGAATCTATTTCTAAACGCCCGTGAAAGTACCTTTCTTCCGCCATATAATCCGGGAGGATTCTGAGTAGCAAAAAGCATGAAACTATCATGTGCTTTAACCAATTGTTGGGTTTCTGGAATATATAGTTCTCTATTGTCATCGAGAACTCTATTTAAGGCCTCTAAAACATCACTGGGTGCTAAATTCAATTCGTCCAAAATAATCCAGTATCCTTTACGCATAGCATCCACTAAAACACCCTCCTTAAAAACTAATTTTCCAGTAGAATCAGCTACATAAGTACCGACATACTCCTGCAAATCAGTATGTTCATGATTGTTGATTCTGACACAGACATGCCCAGAGGTTTTGGCTAAATATGTTATTAAACTAGTCTTTCCTACAGAAGTATCACCTTGTAACAATACAGGCATTTTTCCAATGGATACTACTCTCACTAAATCTTTTAAATTTTGTCTCACTGTTTCTGTGAGTATGTAGTTTTCAGGTATCTGTGGCTGAAGATCACCTTTAGGAATCCAATATCCTTCAAAACATATAAAATGTTCTGCAGATACACTACGTGGTCTTGAAATTGGAGTTCCAAGAATCGCAGCTGCAGCTTTATTAGTTAAAATAGCCTTTACAATCATTCTTTGTACTAGAGGATAAGAGTGACTATCCAATTGCGTTAGAAAACTTAAACAAAATGCTTCGTATAAAGATCTCAATACGTTTCCACAAGGATTTTGTGCAGACACGCTGAGTGCCCGACAAAGCGTTCGTAAACTGTAGTGCGGTTTATGCCCAGTTCCATCAAGAAGATTAGTTTCGGCTTCTTTTCTAACATTCAAATAAAATTTGACGATACTTTCGATTTTCTCTGGTGGAAGATTTAAATCTTTTAAATAAGAACTTGCTAAAAGTTGCAAATCTGATTTTTCCACAAGCTCATCGATGAAAAATTCTGTAAATCTATTTCTGAGTCCTACAGGAAGATCTTTCTTTCCAACATCTGTAGCGGGATTCATACATGCAAAAATTGCAAAATTTTCATGTCTTTTAATTGGTTCTTTGTCTCCGCGCTCTATTAAAGACAATGATCCACACGATCCTTCCAGTAGTCCAGACAGACACTCCAATGTTTCTGCAGTAGCCAAATTGATCTCATCCAATAAAACCCAATCTCCGTTTTTTAATGCTTTCACTAAGCTGCCTTCCACAAAAGAAAATGCCAAGGAGTACTGACTTTGCACTTGAGACAAAAGTTTCTCCAATTTTTGTGCCATTTTTTCCCATTTTTGTAAACGTTCTACTACATCCTGATTTCTTGGACTTGCGCTTAATCTTTTCAATGCTGCGCCAGCACTATGAACCATCAAACTAGTCAGTGTCTTCCACTTTCTTTCTTCGAAACAATGTCCAATGTGACTCAAAAATTTTTGATTTGGTTCAATTGCAAAATAGGATCGAAATAAAATTTCAAACTCTTCACGAATTGGAAAGATTAAAAGTTTGAAATCTACTGGTTTATATCCACCAAGTAAATCTGTACTTTCGCTTTGTTGGTTCATATTTATTACTATCAATTTATGGCCTGTTATCTGTGCAAGATATTGAACACAACTTGTTTTCCCTGTTCCTGTTTCTCCGACAAGAAGGACAGATTCTTTTTGCATAACACAACTAGCTATTCGTTCTAGAAGACATACAGATGGTCTTGTATAAGAGAAGTTTGAATTTTTTAATTCCATTTTTACACGGTCGGGTTTTTGTACCTTTAATTTTACTCTACCAATAGTAAGACTTTTCTTATAAAGATTCAATGATGGTTTATGCATTTCACAAAAGTATTCTGCTTTTGTTTTAACAATACCCAATTTATGCGCTACTGATGTTGCCAAATTTAATCGTTGTACACAATTAGGCACAGAGCAGCAAAATATATCCAAAGCATCTTGAAAAATATTCAATGCAGATGCTGGTGAAGATACATCAAAATCAACAACAGCCCTAGAACACCACTTAATCAAATCTCTTGTAGAAATTTGTCTAGCATTTCTCACAGTATTTACAATATCATTGTCGTGATTGCCAACAGAAAACAGTAGAAATACGTCGATAATTCTCGTCGCCACTGTATGTAATACAGGAAATAACGTTTGAACAACGGTTATAAGTTCTTCTTTTGACAAAGGTTCTACATTAATGCTAAACCAATGTTTCTGAAATGGCACAGACACATTCATTGGCTTTTGTGTTCCACTGGATGCTAATCTCATAGTAACAAATAACTGAAATCCGCTTTTTACATGTACACAGTCTCTATAGCCAGGAACTGACAATGTTTTGCTTTCCAAAAGATGTCCAATAACACTGACAACATCTGTTGGAGCGCAATCAATGTCTTCTAGAAGCAACCATTTACCAGATAACACAGCTTCTGTCAAAATTCCAGGTTGCCACAGAAATTCTCCAGGAATATCTGTACATCTGTACATTCCCAATAATATTTTAGAGTCTGTTTGATCACCTAACTGTACCTTCGCAAAATTTTGTACATCATGGCCTGTTGCATGTGCTAAAAATTCTATTAGAGCAGTCTTTCCAGAGCCAACTGCACCTTGTAAACATACACATTTATTAGAAGATACCGCAAAAGCTAAATTCTGTAAATTTCTTTGTGCAGATGGAACTGGAATTAAATTCAATTTTTTTTTTGGTTTCAAATTTTTAAAAACTGGAAGCAGAATTCCTCCAATAGATTCTACAGATGGTAGATCATTAAACAATCGATCGATTTCTCCAGTTTCTGCAGACGTTATATTATTCTGACAAATTTCTTTGTGTTTAATAGAAAATTGTAGACTCTTTGAAAGAAAATCATTCGTGTGAGACAAATAGCAAGATTCTGACATTCCTAACACAATAGCGATACATTTCATTGCAACCCTGAAAAAATTAGAAATTAATATTCTTTTTATATAGCCTTTATTATACGTTATATTACTTTTTATGTAAAAATAAGTAATATATATTACCATCTAACACATTCATCATCGACTGTTAAATATTTGTAAAACTTAGACCAATTCCATGTATATATAAAGTGCATTGGCGAACTACATAGAATATCATAGCAAGCAGTGACTAGATGATAATTAGAAACTTCAGTAACGATTGCTGTATTTCTTCTGTTATGCCTCTTTGAAGAAGGACTATAATCATCTTCGATGGATTCAAATGGTGCTGGATTTGCATCAAAATAATGCAAAACAAATCTATAATTAAATATTACTTCATAAAATTATTTATTTATTAATGCATCTGTTCGTCTATTTTTCTTATTTTTTAAACGCATTTTACAATCGTTTATGTGCTTTGATTTATTTGTTTATACATGTAATTATATAGTTATAAAAAAAAATCATGCATCTGTACTATACAGAAAATATTATAATTAAATAAACAACAGTGAATTTTATACTGCAATCAAATTTAATTACTTTCAACCATACTATACAATTGTTATATATTATAAAAATTAATAATTTTATTCTTATATGGTAAGAAAATTGTGATGTAATATAAGGTATCAAAGATTGATTCTGCACATTCCTATATAAATTATCCCAGGCTGTAACTCTCAATCGGAAATGTTGTTGAGCATGAAAGAATTACAAAATACAATTTATAACTACGAAGAATTATTAGCAGTTCATGATGATATTTTTAATCACAAAATATTAGTAAGAATATATTAGGGTGAATAAAGACAAGGTATATGAAAAGAACTAATAAAAAATCAATGCAGTATCTTAAATAAATATAAAAATACATACGTTAATAAATCATAATTTTTGTGAACAAGTTTTCCAAGGATAACGGAGTTTAACTTATGAAGAGCATCCCCATCATTGAAAGAGATATTGTCTATAGAAATGCTTGAAGAAATTAATGCAGGCAATAATTGTGGAAAACATTCTGCAACATCCACTGTACATTCTGGATCCATTAAAAACTCACATAGAATATCTAAAATGTTGTCACGGTCATTCTTGTTAAGCTCCTATAACAAAATTACGTACAATTCAAAAATTGTAATTGTAACATGACAAAAGATTAAATCATATAATTAAATACAGTGACAGAAAAACATCATTTTCTATTAATTCGACTAATAAATTATGATTTTAAATATATAAAGCAGATACTAAAAGCCATTCATATGAAATAACAATACTAGCAGAAATAAAAGGAAAACTGAACACTATGTTTAGTAATTAAAAGAAAATTGTTATAGATGTATTGAAAGAAAATTAATTTACCTTATCATTTGTATAGGATGCGAGCTTATACGCATAATTTTTCTTTCTTTCAATAAAGATCGTCAAACTTTGTAGAAGCATCTTTAAAAAAATAAAAATTAAATCACACGTGGGACTTTGTGCAAATGTCGAAATCGATGCACAAACAACATGCTCCTTTGGCGGTTTCGCTCGACTCGAACCTCGAACTAGTTTTTAACATACGCAGTTTGTCCTTTTATTACAAAACAAATCCCTATAATTTTTTAATTTGTGTAGTTAGAAATAGTGGATTTCAAGTCAAAAGAGCGCGAACCCCATTATCAACCGTGATTGGTATATATTTTAAAATTGCATAATTATTTGCAGTGTAGTAACGAGTCGTTCGCTACGATTACACATTTCATATAAAGTTAAACGGAAAACCTAACAATTTTTTCTCGATTTTAGTTCTACACCGAGCCAATTTTTATAATAATTTTTAATATTTTTAATATTTTGTGCTGATCAAAAATTACCGCCAGTAACATAAGTAGTGTAACTAAGCTGAGAAATTATCCTAGCATGCCACCATGTTAGTTAATTTCCTAACCGTAAAAGACACCAGTCATAGAGCGTCGCAGAGATGCCAGAAAAGCACCGCCGGGCAGTGTGGCCAGATCTGGCATAATTGAGTGCATCGAAATCGACAACAGTGACGACGAACTTCCTTAGCGTCTAACGGAATGGTGGGGATAGCAGGCATACCCTACCGCACGAGCCACGTGTACGTGAGCTCGGCACTTCGCACAACTTCGGCAAATCGATAAAGAACGCTAGTGTGAGCCTTTCCTTCTTGCTCTTGTAAAAGACAAAACAACTGAAATACGACCTCGCGATATGTGGCATACGATTCCAAGTCTCGACTGCCCCAGCATTTTTACTTTCCGACCTATATGTAAGGTATAAGGAAATTTATAAAGTATTATAATGAAAAAAAATTTTGAAGTTTTTTTTTAGCGGAAATACACGTTTTAGGACCCCCTGATCATATTGTGACTATTGAAAAAAACGATATTTTTTTTGTTCCTATGCTATTAACATGAATGCATTAAACGACTAAGTGAATTTCAATAACGAAAAAAATATTTCAAAATTTTTTTTAGCGGAAATACACGTTTTAGGACCCCCTCATCATATTGTGACTACTACAAAAAAACATATTTTTTTTTTGTTCCTATGCTATTGACATAATTGCGTCTAAACGGCTGAATGAATTTCAATGAAACTTAACATTTAAGTTTTATGTTCTCGTTTTAAGGTCTCATTATATTTTAAGCGTGATCAGCTCCCATATAATGATGATTATACGTTTTTAGTTTTATAATTATTTCGATACATACACATCATTTGTAACAAATTTTTAAAGCGATTTATATAAATCTTAAGAAGGATTAAGATCAAATATATTTTTCTCCTATCTTTCCTAGACAGGAAAAATTGAACGAAATCTTATGCCATGCATACCTACCTAAACCACATAAAAAACGTATTCCACAAATATTTTAGAATAATGTTGTTCAAAGCAGTCTTACTCGTAAAGGGTTAATTAAGGGTTAATTAAAATGAAAAACCACTCTTAGCCAGTACCGTGCACGCTACAGAAATAGATTACTACTGACTTTTCCCACTATGTTTTTTAATAAACGTATCAAATTGTTACACACAATCAAATGTTATATATTTGACTTAACTTTACATAACAAAATAATTGTAACGATAGGTAAAAGAATAACGTGCACGCTACCGTTCAATGGAAACCACGGGAAGGTGGTGGTCACTTCCATCAGGAGGGAAATGTAAAAAATTGTTATTTCTTTGTAACATTATCACATGCCGTATATTAAAATGTATTTATTAATGTAATGAAATTACAATATAATGAAAAACTAACTCGTGAATGCACTAATTTTTATTAATATACACACAAGCCATAAAAATGGAAAAATGATATAATTGTTTACATTTCCAAAGGATGGGATGTCGGGATAGGACGTTTGCGATTAAACTGGCACGTTATGTCGTGCATTGTTGCTCTTACGGTACCGTGACGTAAGTGTAACAAGGCGCGACATTCTACGTCATAGCCACACTATCTACAGCAAGCAATTTCACTAACTAAAAATATACGGCAAAATATAAGCAAATAAATGAAGAAAAAAAATGATAGTTAGAGCAAGCAGAATAGTATTTACAGCAAGCGAAATACGTAAAAAAAGTAACAACGCGAGACAAATAGAACGACTATTTACATATTAGCGATGTCCAAAAAAAAATATTTTGGACATCACTAACAAGACTGCGGTTGCAGTGTAAGCGCTTTCGCGTGACGTTATGGCACATACATGCGTCACACCTTGTTGCGCCTACGTCGCGGTACCGTTGACGTAACAAGACCAGTCTACCGCGACGTCGCATGAAAACGTTTATACTATCATGAAAACGTTTATACTATCATTGCAGCCTAATAGTACGAATTTACTAAAGAGCTTTTCTCTGGAGAGAAAAATCTCTCTAGAGAAAAGCTTTGTAGTAAATCGGTACCTTAATTTTCGTCATATGACGTAGCGGGAAAATTCTCAAAGTTATTGTCATATGTTGCGTTTAATCTTAAATTACACTTTTGCTTCTTAGCAAATCTATGATATAAATTTTTGGAATACAATAGAGCTAGATGATCGTCATCTACCTCCATGGGTTGAGAGTTTTCCCTCTGCGCCTTTAACGAAGATTTCACAACGCAAATAGAGTTGACGCTGGCCGAAGAAAGTTTATTCCGTTTCTTTGTTTTTATGTCAGGTAACATGGAAAACAATCTTTCTGCATCGGCATTGGAATTTGGAAGTGATCTAATTGTATTTACTAATTCAGGAAATTTAATTTTATAGTCCAAATTTCGCGTTAATAAAATTGTTTTCCAGAAACCATCGAATTTCATCTCGATAAGCGTCTGTCTACCTTTCGTTGTAAATTCCAAAGGCAATACTGACCATTCTGTTTGCAGTCCTTCTTCGTCGAAACCGCCGAATTTCTTAGCGATTAAGAGAACATTTCTGAAGGAAATGTCTCTATTTGTATCATTTAATATAAAAGTTGGTTCAAAAACATACAACTTGCTAAGAAATTCGTCATCGATTGCCAATCGATGACAAATTTCATTTGCAGCTGTAATATAAAACATTAAACAATTTTTCCTTACGGTTTCTACGATGTCGGACTTGCCTTCTGCATTCAGTTGATGCAGAAAATTAAGACACTCTGTTCTTAAATTTATACTATTAAATGAGAGTTGATTTTCGACTACAGAAAAATTCATCATTCTTACTAAATCCATGTGTTTCAAAAGCTGCGGTTTCAGAAAATTGCGTAATATATCGCATAAAAGTTCTGCCGCAGTCTTTTGAAGCAAATGAATTCTTGTCTCTTGAGTTTGAAAGAAAATGCTAAATTTATAAAAAAACTCAAGAGCGTAATTTAGAAAATAAAGATATGCTTTGGCCTCTGGATTTTGCATCGAGATTAACAGACGTTCCCCGGACTCTGATTTCTCGCTTATTGTCAATTCTTGCAAAAAAAGCAATACAGAGTCCCAATTCTCTAAAAGTGTAACTACGGATGTATAATGCGATAACCATCGCGTAGATATAGCCCAGTTCCCATAGGTTTTTAAAAGGCAATAATTAGAAATAAAGTTCTATTGAATGAATAGCAGTATATAGACGTCAATTTAATATATTTCATTTTGCAGAAATGAATTTAGAGGGGAATCAAAAAAAAAGGAAAGAAGAATATAGACGTTCTAATATATGGCATGTGATAATGTTACAAAGAAATAACAATTTTTTACATTTCCCTCCTGATGGAAGTGACCACCACCTTCCCGTGGTTTCCATTGAACAGTAGCGTGCACGTTATTGTTTTACCTATCGTTACAATTATTTTGTTATGTAAAGTTAAGTCAAATATATAACATTTGATTGTGTGTAATAATTTGATACGGTTATTAAAAAACATAGTGGGAAAAGTCAGTAGTAATCTATTTCTGTAGCGTGCACGGTACTGGCTAAGAGTGGTTTTTCATTTTAAATAACCCTTAATTAACCCTTTACGAGTAAGGCTGCTTTGAACAACATTATTCTAAAATATTTGTGGAATACGTTTCTTATGTGGTTTAGGTAGGTATGCAAGGCATAAGATTTCGTTTAATTTTTCCTGTGTAGGAAAGATAGGAGAAAAGTATATTTGATCTTAATCCTTCTTAAGAGTTATATAAATCGCTTTAAAAATTTGTTACAAATGATGTATATGTATCGAAATAATTATAAAACTACAGACGTATAATCATCATTATATGGGAACTGATCACGCTTAAAATATAATGAGACCTTAAAACGAGAACATAAAACTTAAATGTTAAGTTTCATTGAAATTCATTCAGCTGTTTAGACGCAATCATGACAATAGCATAGGAACAAAAAAAAATATCGTTTTTTTCAATAGTCACAATATAATCAGGGAGTCCCAAAACGTGTATTTCCGCTAAAAAAAAATTTCGAAATTTTTTTTTCGTTATTGCAATTCACTTATTGTTAGTCATTGAGGAACAAACAAAATGTCTTTTTTTTCAATAGTCACAATATGATCAGGGGGTCCTAAAACGTGTATTTCCGCTAAAAAAAAATTTCAAAATTTTTTTTCATTATGATACTTTATAAATTTCCTTATACCTTACATATAGGTCGGAAAGTAAAAATGCTGGGGCAGTCGAGACTTGGAATCGGATGCCGATTATCGCGAGGTCGTATTTCAGTTGTTTTGTCTTTTACAAGAGCAAGAAGGAAAGGCTCACACTAGCGTTCTTTATCGATTTGCCGAAGTTGTGCGAAGTGCCGAGCTCACGTACACGTGGCTCGTGCGGTAGGGTATGCCTGCTATCCCCACCATTCCGTTAGACGCTAAGGAAGTTCGTCGTCACTGTTGTCGATTTCGATGCACTCAATTATGCCAGATCTGGCCACACTGCTCTGGAGCGTCGAAGCATTCGGACGTAAATTTATATAATAATCGACGTTCAACAAAGATGTTATAATTTCCCTAGTTGCATTATTCCCACACCATATCACATTGTGATATAAACTTACACGACAGTAAATGTCATGACTTTAGTTGCTATGTAAAAACGAATCTTTAGTATTGAAACAGAATTCAAGGTTCCTTCCCTTTTATTTAGTTTAGTGTTGCAACACTCGTGGCGCTACACAAAGGCTTACTAAATCTCAGGGACTCGGGGGATACCTATCTTCGGTAGTTACTATTTATCCACGAAGTTGACGAAGCAAACTTACAATCAATTCGTAATTTCCATAAAAAAGTATTTTGACAAGCAATAGTGTTTATAACGTGAATTACATGAAATTTTCGGTTTATTAGGAAATAAACTTCTCAATTAAAATGGGTATACCAAAGTTCTTTAGGTATATAAGTGAGAGGTATCCTTGCGTTAGTGAATCGTTAAAGGACTATCAGGTAATTGAAATAAAAATAAACAGTAATATTTGCTTTATTCTTTTTCAATAGTTCTCCGATTAACTCTCGTTTATGCTTCTTTCTGCATTATTGTACGTCCTGTATCTGTTCTTAAACATTAACATTTTTGTTGTAGAAATACATAATAGCATTATCATAAACAGATGTTTTTTTGCATCTATATAATTATTCCAATTGCCAAAAAGAATAATAATAATGATTACATCATTGTTTGCAGATACCAGAGTTTGATAACGTATATTTAGACATGAATGGTATCATACATGGATGTTCGCATCCTAATGACAGTGATGTTACATTTCGTATCACAGAAGAAACTATATTTAAAAATATATTTCGGTATATTGAAATATTATTTAATATGATCCGACCTCAGAAGTTGTTTTTTATGGCAATCGATGGTGTAGCACCACGTGCAAAAATTAATCAACAGAGGAGTAGACGTTTCAGAGCTGCAAAGAATATGGAGTCCCAAGAGGCTAATGCAAAAGTAAAAGGTATCAATGTGCCGAATGAGAAACGATTTGATTCTAATTGTATAACTCCAGGAACACTTTTTATGTATAAACTGGATAAACAATTAAAATATTTTATTACATACAAAATTTCAAATGACAAACTTTGGCAAAAATGCAAAGTTATATTCAGTGGATCTCAGGTATTAAATTTTGGCATACTGTTACTTAAGGGGGAATATCATCTTTGGGTAAAAAAAACAAAATTTGGAAATATTTTGTGACAAAATAAAATGTTTAACATAAATGTTTTATGCATATATTAAAAGTACCTACTTTGAACACTATTCCTGCCAGTTTTCATAAAAAAAATGTGTTAATATTAAATTTTGATAAAATATACAATATATTGTTATTTTGAAACCACAAAGGCAGCATTTCCCATTAAGTAGATAGTCGATATTGTAAATTTAAAAAACTTAGGAAGCTGTAAAAATTGTTCTAGGTCGCGGGTGAAGGAGAACATAAAATAATGGATTATATTCGTTACATGAAGTCCCAACCAGATTATGATCCACATACTAGACATTGTTTGTATGGTCTAGATGCAGATTTAATAATGTTAGGTTTATGCACTCACGAGTTGTATTTTACATTACTGAGGGAAGAAGTGAAGTTTGGTAAACCGCAAACGAAAATTATAACTCCCGAAGAAACAAAGTTTTGTCTCTTCCATTTATCCCTGTTAAGGGAATATATAACTCATGAATTTTCTTCATTAAAGGAGAAGTTACCTTTTCCTTTTGACATTGAAAAGCTCATTGACGATTGGATTTTAATGGGATTTCTTATAGGAAATGATTTCATTCCACATTTGGCAAATTTACACATTTCAAATGGTACATTGCCTGTGTTGTACCAAGTCTATATAGATGTATTACCAACATTAGATGGTATGTCTGATCTGTAATGAGAAATAATATTTAAAATACAGTAGTGCCCACTTTAAGCAGGCATGGTTATTTATCAGAATTCAACGGAGATAAGGAAAAAGGATAAGCGCGGACACTTAAGTGGGCAAAAGTGCGGTTACTTAAGTGGGCACTACTGTAATATGTTCCAAGAATTATTTAAATCATGCAGTTTATTTTAGGGTATATAAATGAATCGGGAACTTTAAAGTTGGACAGATTTGAGAAATTTATGGAAAGGCTTAGTCGGTTTGATTTATTAACATTTTCCGATCATTGGGCAAATTTGAAATATTTTGAGAGTAAAACGGGAAGGCGTTTTACTGAATCCGACAGAACCGGTTGTAAAAAATTAGAAGATAACAAAGAAATTCTATTTTCAAAGAGTGCAGAAGATAAAGAATTTGATGCTTTACTTAGATCTGCGGCTGACATGGTACTTATTTATGTATATACTTGTAACTTGAAAGGAATGCCGTCACGTAAACATCGCGGTAATATCGTTGTTGCTTCATCGATCAGTCAATTATCGCTGCGATGTTTAGGTTGCAATATTCTTTTCGAATCTAATGGCGGGAGAATTACCCTGTATAATTGCATTTGGAATATCTTGATTAACGCTTTTTAATATAGTCGCCGGATTCTGATGAAAATGAAGAAGATGATGAATCGGAACGTGAAACTTATAATATGGAATTTGTCCGACATAAAAAAGATTATTATATAAATAAATTAGAACATGAAAATATAGATGAGTTAGTATGCCAAAAAAAAATAATATAATCTAATAGTTTTCTAATGTTTTTTTGTTTATCAATTATATGTCTTGTTATAAAATATTTCAGAGATTTTCTACGTGCTCTATGTGAAGGCTATGTCAAAGCAATTCAGTGGAATTTAAATTATTATTATAATGGATGTTGTAGTTGGTCGTGGTATTACCCACATCATTATGCACCTTACATTTCGGACATAAAAGGTTTTAAAGATTTAAAATTGGAATTTGATTTAGGAGAGCCATTTTTACCGTTTCAACAACTATTAGCCGTATTACCGCCATACAGTAAAGATTTATTACCAAAAGCATTCCAAACATTATTAACTGAGGAAGATTCACCTATAATCAATTATTATCCAGCGGATTTTAAGACAGATTTGAACGGTAAACGACAAGAATGGGAGGGTGTTGTACTTATTCCGTTTATAGATGAAAAAGATTTACTAGATGGTATGTGAAAATGGTTGTACAAATTTCGAACTGTCGTGAGTAAAACTAACTCAATTAAATTTTATAGCTATGGAACCTTGTTATTCGCAATTAAATCCCAAAGAATTGAAAAGAAACAGGCATGGGCCAATGTGTTTGTTTTCTTACACAGAAGAAAATATGGGTATCTGTAAAGAATCTAAATATTTTCCTGGCGTTGTCAGTCATGTAAACGTACAGTTCTTAAATCGCGAGGATATTATTGTACCTCGGGAAAAATTAGTGAGAGGATTATCTCCTGGTGCAAAAGTGGACGAGTACTGTCCTGGCTTTCCTATGTTACGGTTCATAGAACATACAGCAAAGTTGGAGAAGACCAAGGTAAGTTTATCAATTTTATAATTAATTAATATTGTCAGTATATTTATTTTATTTATTGCGTTCGTGACACAGGTAAAAGTGTTTGATCGAGGCTCGATCAATAGTAGTATGATTTTATATATAAAACCTCCTCCTAAAACGGACTTGACGTCCGTAGCATCCGAACTATTAGGTAAATTAGTGTTTGTAAATTGGCCGCGCTTGACGGAGGCTCAAGTAGTGGGCGTTTCAAATTGTGATAAAAAATTAAGCTTAATTCACCCGCAAATGAATTATTGTAACGAAAATATAAACGAAGAAGAACTGAAGGGTTTGCTTGGCCAGGAGTGGAATATGCAAAGGAAACATATCATTGAAACGTAAGTTAGGTTGTGTTTTTACACATACAATAGAGTCACGTGCTATAGTACATATCGTCGTATTTGTAGATACAAAGTTTCTCGTGGAATAGAAGTCGGAGAAACAAATATTTTAATTCATGCACGACCAATAGTAGGCAGTAAATATATCTGTAACAATCGCGGGGAAGTACGTTTCGAAAAACAGTGGTCGGAGTCGCAGATAGCTTATGCTTACCAAGTGATAGTGAAGAATATTCCAGTCTTCAGTCATCATTCATTATCATATAAGAATGTCGATGATATTTTTGTCCCGGAATCAATTTGTTTTATGTTAGGACATCCTCATTATGGTGGAATGGGGAAAGTATGTTACACAAATTTGTTTCCTCGTATCAACGAAACGGCAGTATTTTATGAAAGAATATTTTAATAGGTAGTTGAGTCTGCGATTTGTAAAAAGTCAGCCAGAATAAAAATATCAGTGGCTGTGACTCCAGAACCATCATTAGAAGTGATAAAACAGCTTCAGCAACAACATAAAATTCAATATATGCGAGGAAGTATAGCTGCGCAACGATTAGGCATAAGTGCTCACCTTTTGAGTAGAATCACAGGTTCAATTTATGTGAAGCAAACCTCGGATGAATTTTATCTAGAAGAGGCGAAGTACAATATTGGGTTGAATTTAAAGTTCAACAAAAAAAACGAGGAAGTAAGCCCAATATCAATCATCGAGTCTTTGTATAGATACTAGATCTCTATCATTGTGTACACCTTTACAGGTACCCGGTTATACTCGGAAAGAAAATGGACAGTGGCTATATAGTTCGAAAGCCGTTGATTTGATCCGTAGTTATATGGTGAAATGCCCGGAATTATTCGAACGATTAACACAGATTGTGTCCAATGATGTTTTTATGGAAGATAATTTATTCGATAAAGGGTAAGCGAATTGTTAGGTCAGATCTGCTTATAAATTTTAATATTTATTTTCCAATCATCTTTAACTTTGCAAGTAGAAACGTTTACAAGAAAATAAACTATGCTTACTGAAGTAACGTATTTTATTCTTTTGTGTTATTTTTGTTTTTTTTGTCTTTCTTTTAAACGTATAGTTCGGGAACATTAAACGACATTGTAGCGTGGTTGAAGGAGGAACTTCAAGGATTAAAAAGTTGTCCCTGTGACACAGAAGCTCTTGAACCCAACTTAATGAAGAAACTAGAGGAAGAATTGGATGAGTTTCTCAGTGCGCAGAGCAATAATGTCAAGCATATACCAATGCTAGTAAAGCCTCATTTGCTTTTCAAACCCGGTCTGAATTTGCGTAACACTTCGCCGGATCCACAAACACAAACTTACTTTTTGGATAGAGTATGTTGCATCAGAGACAATTTCATGGTTCCTCTGGGTTTCAAGGGTACCGTCATAGGCATACACAAGGCTGAAAACCCACTGGACACAATGTACGATATTCTGTTCGATAAACAATTCCCAGGTAAACCAACAATGCAACTTTTGGGCATAATTTTGAGGGAAGAAAGAGTATCGATGTTACGAATTGATTGTTTCAAGGTGGGCTCAGCATAAACGGATGCACAGACTTACGTGCGTATCGTCTGTCGCCGATTGATTTAATAAATATTAGTCACGGCGAGAGGATAGAGCATGCTATGGAGGCCTGGAAGCACGCCTCCAATCAGGAAGCTCAATCGTGCGCAGCAAACGCAAGCGCTTTCGCGTCATACAAGAAAAAGAATCATTCGTCGGCGGAGCCACTGACGTCGCCGAAACTGCGCATTATTCAGAGGAATAATGAAGAGTCGAATCAGAGCTGTCGGTTGGCGCCGCCGCCGAATGCTTATAGATGGAAGCAGTGCAACATGCAGAACACCATCGCGAACGTGCGAGAAACGCACAAACCGACCAAGAGTGCCCAGAACGCGCCTCTGGAGAATACACCGGAAAAACCATCAACATCGAAGCCGTCATTTGAGTTCCAAGCTTTGTGGAACGAATTGCATAAATCGCAGGTCAGTTTAATGGTATACAGGGTGATTCTAGAAACTAGGGCAAGTCTTGGTAGCTTTTTTGAAGCAAAAATAAAGAAACAATTTATGTCGGAACAGTTCGATTTTGCAATGAAGACTATTTTTAGGCTATGTAATTTTGTTGTTTTCAATTTTTTTATGTACAATGTTTTATATCTATGTTTGGAGATATATTCCAGTTTTTAAAATTACCCTGCATATTCGTCTCGTGGTTTTATAAAAAATCTTATAGATCGTTCTGACTTATTAGAAGCCGAATGGGTCGCCGAAGACTGCAGTACAAGTATCGACAGGTCCACAGGTAAAGCAGATCAATAAAGGCTTTCCTGAAAGTTCCGTGAGTATCTTTTACTCTCTATTATTTTGTTATCGTTAAATCGGCTAATTTGTCGATCGCTGTAATTTAGCCGCAAGATCCTAGTGCGTTTCTGAAGGCCGTACTAAAAATTTCGAATGAAAACATAGAACAAAGCACACAGTCAACAACGCCAAAAACGCCTTCCAATAATACAACCCCAAAAGAAGATGAAACATTGGATACACCTCCGTTGGTGCAACAATTATTTGATGTATGTATTAAACGAAATATCGATTAAAAAAAATACGAAACATATATTAAATAATTAATGGTGATAATGATATCGAACTGATATTATTAGCATTTCGAAAAATCTGACACTTAACTAATCTCTTAAATACCTTGGTATCGAATTGCTTGGGTATTTATTAATATGTATCAGTGTCGGCCCCATCGCTAATCATAATATTACAATTTCAGCTTAGGTATTAATAACATGTATCATTGCCGGCTCCATGACTAATCATAATAATAAAATTTCAAAGAGTTTATTTTTTTTATCAGGCTCCATTGCTAATCATAATAATAAAATTTCAAAGAGTTTATTTTTATACAACGTATATCCCTTTCAGCATGCTAGACAAAACGAAAAAGTAAAGGACGAAAAGAAATTGGTCTGGTACTGTTCACAGTTAATGTATTACTATAAACTTAGTGGAGTCGGAGTGCCTCGATTTAGCTATTTCACAGATGAAAAAACTAATTTAATTCGTGCTCACATACTCCTACCAGATAAGAGGGTATTTGTGGGAGATCCCAGTTCGAATCATAGTCGAGCAGCAGGTAGTGCTGCCGAGAAAGTTTACACGGTAATTAAAGTTGAAAGCTTTAACGTGTTTTATCATATTTCAATTTCTTAACGACGTATCATCTTTTTCTTTTTTTCTCCGTTTTTTTTCTTTTTTTTTTTAAATTAGGAATTAAATTTGGCCAATGTACTACCAAATATGAAAACACTTTTGCTACCTCCGGTGCATTGGTATTCTGGCCGACAAAATAATTCTTGGCCGCCGAATGTACGACCTCCAGGAGTACTGTTTCAATCTGCAAAACCTCAACCACATCAACACTACCATCATTACACACCCGTAAAAGTGCAACATAATCCAGGGTATCAGCAAGTGCACAATCAGAATAATCAGTACAAGCTGCATTCTTCACAAAACGTATCGAAGTCTGAAATAAAAAACAGTACATCTTTCGTTCCACTGCAAGCACAAAAAAATAGTAGAAACATCACTGCCAAGCAGGATGGAACCAAGGGGACGAATCAATCTAAGAAAGACTATCTTCAGCCAGTAGCACAACAGAAGAAGAAAAATGAATTGCCTACCAAGGTTTGAGAAAATCATTTATGGATACACGTGCAATAGAGATGGGCAGTATTTTACTCAGATAAGCTTTTATTGGATTAACATGGATCATAATACGATTACACAATTGGAATTGTATCTTTTATAAAAAAAAAACAACAAATCAAAAACTGATTATCTTTTATTCGTTATTTGAATTTTGTTGTTTACTTTCGCCCATCTCTGATTCGCAGTTGCAACGAAATTTTGAAATATAAATCTTTTCTTGTAGAAACAAGAAACCGTCGCCACGACTACCGAGAAACAAAAATCTACACAATGCAGTTCACGCCAAACATCAAATACACAGGATGTAATCGCAAAGCCTAAGAAATCGCGGGTTGCTGCGAAATTTAATATACCGTCTCAAGTTGAGGAAACAAATCACAGTAAGAAATCTGATTAAAGAAGTTCAACATGACAAAACACATGAAAATAATACAAAATATTGAGACATATTTATCTCCATCTTTTGAATACCTCTTTTTTATATTTTGTAATAAAAGATTCCAAAAGACGACAACATTGGTCCTGCGTGTACAAGAGTGCACGCAACTGATGCAAAACTTGGAAGAGATTGAAGTCTCGTGTACATAATATTCGGTTTGTAAGTAGCATTACTTTAGATTTCTTTTATAAGTACATATATTGGCTCATTATACTGTACAAAAGGACGTTAAAAGATACGTTAATTATAAATTGATTTTTATACGTACGATTGGGGTCTGTATGGAGGAACACTATTAAGTATTATAGAATACACGAAATTATGTTTGATGTACTTTAGCACACTGACTATTTTTAGCCGCGAAATATGATCATTTAATTTACATTAAACAAAAGCGGGGAAAAAAGTATTTCAATTTTAGTCGACTACGAGATATAACCCGTTATTTTTGTGGGGTGTATATTTTGCTAATCACTCAATTATTCTTACTCAGAATTGGCAGAGTTTTGATTTTTGACATAACGATGAATCATGTAAAAACTAAAATTGCATTACAAAAAAAAAACAATAAATGCATTGTATGTGTAAATTTGTAAAACGCACTGATCAATGAAAATGAATAAAAATGATGTGTTATGTAATATAAACATGTTTATCCTACATATTTACCATCGTCTCGGTCTTTATTTAAAATTACTCGTTACATAAAAGATAAACGTTTATCCTGATTAAGTCTGTTCGCGAAAAAGATATCATTCAATACGCAAACAGTATCGAGTATACTCATTGATACAATGAGTTCCTTTTTGTTACATTTTTTATTTTATCGCTGATATGGCATTATAGTTCAATTTTTAGGCGAAGCTAAATTTTGAAGATTGAAATCCTTTAGAATCTTGCACATTCGCCCTGCATAATACCGTTCTCGTATGACAATACGTATAAAAGATACTTTTTGTACTTCTGAGACTGAGAATAGTTCCGAGTGTTTTTCGAATGCGACACGAAGCCATTGTGCCATCCATTCCACGCACGTTTTGTTCAGTGCTAATAAAACTTCTGCATGAGGTTCTAAATTGTTCCGTGGTACCACTCCACCTAATTACAGTGGCACGTTACAATTTTAGAATTATTATATCAAAGAATGTACCCACAAACAGGGATAGGCAAAATGTATTTCAAAAAGCTCCATCCTACATAAATAGAAAACTCCCGTCATGGAGGTTTGCATGTATTCGAAGTCTACTATGGATACTGAATACAAAAGAGTGTTCGTTGGTATGAATGACTACAAAATACCAGCAAATGTCGACGTAAGATCATCGCATCATATATCCCGCTTAACTTGAGCATTTTAAATATACCAAGTTAAGTGGGAGACGCTGTATATTCAGTATTTTTCATGTATTTCGATTACAAAATCAATTAAATGTGCCCATCCCTGTACATAAATATCAAGAGAAGATCATCTACGTACCCACACATTGTAAAATCACAGAAACGAGTTCTTGGCCGATTGGTTGAATGAACGTTTGCAAGTGTGGACTCTGTCTGATGGCATGAGTGAGGAAATACCCAGCTGCTTTGACTGCTCCAGTTTCCGGTAGCGTTAAGCAATTGATTCCTGTAAGAGACATTGTGCGTACCGTGCCAGTGAAATATACCTCAACGAGGAAAAATTAAGGCTTATAGAAGTACACGCGAAGAAAAAAGAAAATATGTATTAGAACATCTGAAGGGAACCTGTAAAGGGTCGAAACGTTATGTTTCAATTTCTAACAATAATGAAAAATGGTGGACAAAAAAAGCTGAGGCTTACCACATTGTAACATCTCCGGAATTTGATCTGGGATTTGCAGCAACATCCTAGTATTTTTCTTGCAAATTTGGCCCAACAGTCCAAGATATGCCTCCATCAGTTCCGCCCAATCAGACAAATTACCATTAACGGATCTACAGGCTCTAACACCGCTTAACGTTACCGAACTCAATTCTCCGAAAATGGGTCCTATGACATTATCGGGATCTCGTCCGAACAGTGGTACAAGTTGTCGAAGAAGATCCAACGCGGCAGGGTGGGGCCACGTTTTGTATGAACCAGCCAAGATCGGAAGAAGAGGTCGGGCATCAACTTCGGGATGCAACAACGATGACAGAGAATTTTGTGCGCAAACGTACATCTCTTCTAGTGTAGCATTGTCCTGCCCCCACTCAGGATGCCCAACAATTTGATTGAATATTGGGAGTAGTCCGTGTAGTACAGTCTTTCCGATAGATTCTTCCAGCGTAGAAAAAAACATACTAACCATTTTTAATTGTTTTGTTACAGCAACGCGGGCCATGAACAATGGTTGCTTCAACAATTCTCGTATTTTTATTATGCAAAAACCCAACGTGGCATCGAGGTGGGCTAGTCGCTCTTCGACGGTGGATAAACTGGTTAATAATTTGCCGGCGGCGTACATCAATCGCAAACCTTCCATGCCGCCGGGTGTAACGTTTGGAAGTGTTTGCTCAATTGTATTTAAAATAGATGGCGCAAAAGGTGCCATGTGTCGTCCACATTCTCTTGCTAGGTCCTTCAAAGCCATACTAGCAAGGGGTGCTGTCACGGAACCACTGACTAAACCTAAAGTCACGATTTGCAATACTCTTTCTAGCCAGGGATCCGGATGTTTCCCTATCCACTCGGCGTACGATCCTATTGTTGAACACGCGCATGCTAAAAGCTGTAAATGTTTAATAAATTTTCAAATATCTATAATATTGTAATTATTTTCTAGAAAATATTTGGCAAATTTCAACGTACAGTGTCCCCTCTAAACTGTTACAGACTACTCCATAATTCGATTATGCACGATTTTAGTAAAAGAGAACTTACCTCTCTCGGATAGTGATCATAAGGGATATGAGTGAGAATCAAATCCATCAGAGCAGGAATGTAATGCGACTCTTCTACGCCAACACTAACCGCTATAGCTTCGAAAGCGTGTAACGTTGATTCCACGTCGGTCCACTTTTCCGTATCGTTCAGTGTTTGACTTAATCTTTGTCCGAGAAGTATCAATAAATCTTCTCTCAGTACCCTATAACAGTAATCGAAGGTGTCCGCAATATCCTGTCTGTAACATCTAAAGAGTTCCCGTTCTTCCGCGTCCCCTGCTTCACTCGGAGATGAAGGAAGCGTTGATTTTCGCAATAATGCTTGAGCCAATCTTGCATAAATGGGTTTTACAGCCTCTAAAGCATAACTCTCGTAAGGTTCGTCGAGCGTAGCAGTATCATCTTGTAACAAGGACCAAAATTCAAATGGTATACAACTCCGAGTTTCATCCGTCGGATACCGTCCTTTTTGTTCCGAACATTCTAATAGTAACTCGATCAAGTTTTCAGAAGTCCATTTTTGTGTATCATTTCCTTGCACTAAAGCAATTAAAAATTCTCTGCTATGAGTTTCGCCAATAGCAGTTAAGATTTCACAGAAGTACTGTCCGCTGTATTGCCTAGCTATGATTACCAAATTTCGCGCCCAATTCCATAACGTTTGCGGTCTATTTCTAAGTTCATAATGGGTTACTATTATAGTTAAACATTCTTGAACAATTTCCCAACCTCTGGCATTTTCCTCGTCCGAACCTTCTCTTTAATTCAATACAAAATATATATATGTATATATATATATATATATATCATGCTGCTGATAAGTTTGAAATACAGTAGTGCCCACTTAAATGTCCGCGGTTATTCCCACCAATTCTCGGAAACCAAGCGGCTTTGAACATTGAGCGTAACTTGACACTGGTTGTTATCAATACATTGTATATATGGTTCCGGATGCCAGCTATTGTATTTTACTCGCACATATCCTCTTTCCTTATCTCCGTTGAATTCTGAGAAATAACCATGACCACTTAAACGACCACGACCGCGACCGCGACCGGTCCCGAGCGCGGATATTTAAGTGGGCACTACTGTAAGTATAAATTGAATGCCTGTACCTGCTTGGCGCATAATACGCTGCAGCAATTAGTAAATGAGGATATATTTGTCCAGTTGCATCTAAAGGAAGTTGATAGACCTTGAGCCACGATAATGCACACTCCATTGCTAACAGGTGCAATGCATTATCGCTATTTTGGGAATTTGGATTGCACATTGAGAAAATTTGTTGTAGAAGCCATGTGGTTCTGTACCAACCATTACACAAAGTTTTGGGTAACTTAAGTTTTTCTTCAAATCTTTTCTCAGACTAATTGAGGTATTGAAAGCAGATATTAGTTTGAAAAGCACTAAATATTAACATGGTGTATTTATATGTATTTTACTTTTACCGGTAACACAGAAAGCGTGCGTAGTAACAATTCCAACATAGGAAGCGAATCATAGGGCAATATCCTCATGAGTTCGTCTACAATATTTTTATCTTTTTCCTCATTTTCAGTAGCACTGACATTCATCACAAATCCAGCCAACTAAAACCACAAAGTTTATTAATACACCATGACAATATTAAAGTAACCTGAATAGATTTGTAACTAATATAAAAAATATTACCGTTTGGCAGAGTTTAGAGAGGACAAATTTGGGCATATTTGGTTGTTTCATAATACTGAGCAAACGCTCTTGCAGAACAGGGTATTCATTTTTAGGCACTTCATCCCATTGTTTAGAAATTTTGGTGTGCAATGTAGTAGCTGCAAAAAATTGTAATTCCCACGACTGCAACAAGAATTAAGATTTGTAATTGTAACAGGTCAAATGACAAGAGATTAACAAATAATTTGCATACTTTAGAAGGGTCTAGAAGTTCCCAGACAAATGTCCAAGCCTCCGGGGAGGCCTGAACCCGTAAAAGCCAAGAATGCACGTCATTATTTCCTTCCATGTATAACTGTCTCACTGCATGTTCAACTACAGTTACATAATCCATCACAAATTACTTGTTTATCCTGTAAGATCTGTGCCAGAGTTACAGTATTGTTTATTTATATTCTACAAAAGTCTCATTGTCAGCAGAGAACTGTTTTTGCCACTCAATTCTACCAGGGCTTTGAATTTAGTTCATTTCACAGGTCATATCGCGGAGAATTTTTCTATCGTCTTTTTGAAAAGTCTTTTAAACCACAGCACCTGAGAATTTTCGCGTCAATCTTGTTAATTCTTATTTACACGATCTTTTCTAGTCGCTTTAAAAATCTTACGAGTTGCTAAACACCCGCCTGTGCTCGCCCATTCTCTCTTTCACCATCTGTGAGAGCCCTATTTTCATCATAGCTTTTAAAATATATAAACGGTTATAATTTAGTCAGCAAATATCGACGATGAGAAAAGCTGAACTGCGAAAATAATGCAATACTATACAGGAGTAGATATATATTCGTCCTGTTCGATTCTATTCTTAAATTGTCAAATACCATGTTTCACTCATCCTCTGTTTAATTAAAGATAGAATCCACGTAAACAAAAACCATGTGACTTAGACAGGAATGTGAATTAGTATTGCAACCCTACTTTTTATAGGCCGACACATTAGTGCACGAATATATAACATATAATTTTCAATCCACCAATTGTATGGATGATTTTGACATACACAGTGCCTCTTTATATATTTACTATGTGTGTACGTGTGCCTAAAATCATTAATGATTGCTAAATTCAATTATATTAGGTTGTTGCAAATGAAATGGTGTTTTTTTCACAATTTAGATTCCCCTCCATTGTAACTCTACTTTTATTTTGCAGATAGCGTTGCATTCGCAGTAGTGTGGGGTCGAGACTTATGGTCTCGTCCGCACAAGAATATAGGGGAGCAGTTCCCGTTAAATGCGAATCCGCCGTAAGGCTGCGCGCGCAGCGCAGCAGGGCGAAAGCGCGTCCTCCCCAAAATGCAAGGACGCAGTGTGGCCAGATCTGGCATAATTGAGTGCATCGAAATCGACAACAGTAACGACGAACTTCCTTAGCGTCTAACGGAATGGTGGGGATAGCAGGCATACACTACCGCACGAGCCACGTGTACGTGAGCTCGGCACTTCGCACAACTTCGGCAAATCGATAAAGAACGCTAGTGTGAGCCTTTCCTTCTTGCTCTTGCAAAAGAGAAACAGCTGAAATACGACCTCGCGATAATCGGCATACGATTCCAAGTCTCGACTGCCCCAGCATTTTTACTTTCTGACCTATATGTAAGGTATAAGGAAATTTATAAAGTATCATAATGAAAAAAAATTTCGAAATTTTTTTTTAGCGGAAATACACGTTTTGGGACCCCCTGATCATATTGTGACTATTGAAAAAAACGATATTTTTTTTTGTTCCTTTGCTATTGACATGATTGCGTCTAAACGGCTGAATGAATTTCAATGAAATTTAACATTTAAGTTTTATGTTCTCGTTTTAAGGTCTCATTATATTTTAAGCGTGATCAGTTCCCATATAATGATGATTATACATCTGTAGTTTTATAATTATTTCGATACATATACATCATTTGTAACAAATTTTTAAAGCGATTTATATAAATCTTAAGAAGGATTAAGATCAAATATACTTTTCTCCTATCTTTCCTAGACAGGAAAAATTAAACGAAATCTTATGCCTTGCATACCTACCTAAACCACATAAAAAACGTATTCCACAAATATTTTAGAATAATGTTGTTCAAAGCAGTCTTACTCGTAAAGGGTTAATTAAGGGTTAATTAAAATGAAAAACCACTCTTAGCCAGTACCGTGCACGCTACAGAAATAGATTACTACTGACTTTTCCCACTATGTTTTTTAATAACCGTATCAAATTGTTACACACAATCAAATGTTATATATTTGACTTAACTTTACATAACAAAATAATTGTAACGATAGGTAAAAGAATAACGTGCACGCTACCGTTCAATGGAAACCACGGGAAGGTGGTGGTCACTTCCATCAGGAGGGAAATGTAAAAAATTGTTATTTCTTTGTAACATTATCACATGCCATATATTAGAACGTCTATATTCTTCTTTCCTTTTTTTTTGATTCCCCTCTAAATTCATTTCTGCAAAATGAAATATATTAAATTGTCGTCTATATACTGCTATTCATTCAATAGAACTTTATTTCGTACGTGCCGTAGGTCATTCTGAGACATTTAAATTGAAAAAAAGCTTTCGCGTAGGTATTCTGTAATTTTCTGTTCTTTCGCTTTTCTGCTTTTATATCATGGAAACGGTTGTGAAATCGAAGAATAAGTGTAAGCGCGGTTTTTTATCTTCATGGATAAATGATCATAGATTTAAATCATGGATACGTGCAGTACCCCATGATAGAAGTCGTTTTTATTGTACGTTATGCAATAAGTCTTATTCTTGCGGTTCCTCAAACGTGTATAGACACGGAGAATCTGGGTGTCATAAAAAAAATAGTACTTCTAAAAGGACTTTTATGCCTCAATGGCTTGAGAATGATTATTTCAAGCCATGGTTGCATAAAGTCGATGGCGACCCTTATTCGTGGTTCTGTTCGGTTTGCAACAATCAATTTTCATGTCGATTATCGACGATTTATAATCATGCAGATTCTCAGTGTCACATTGAGAATTATAAAAAGAGTAACGATAACGCAGACAATTTGAATAATAATTTTACGACGCAATCCGAAGAATCGCCTCTGTCGTTGGATGAAAGGATAAAATCCGCGGAAATCAAATTTGCCAAATTAATAGCCGAAAAAAATATTCCGTATCGAACCGCAGAGACGATTCTTGAAGTTTTCAAAGACATTGGGCAAGATCCTGATGTCTTGAAACATATGTCGTTCGGTCGAACAAAGTGTTCAAATATTATATCAAACGTTTTGTATCCTTTAGAAACAAAACGTATTTCTAGTGTTTTACAAAACACTAAATTTTCTATTTATATTGACGAAACATCCGACTCGACCAACGAGAAATGGATGACGTTTCTTGTTCGTTATGTTGCACCCGAGACTTTGGATGTTCGAACGGAATTGGTAGAATTATTACATCTTGATGCCAGAAATTGTGACGCAGATAATTTATATAAAACATTTGAAATTGCCATGATAGAAAGAGAAATTCCGTTCGAAAATATTGTCGCGTTGTCATGTGACAACGCTGCTGTCATGACAGGGCGACACTCGTCCTTTATGACAAAGCTTGCAACAAAATGCAGGGACAAATTTTTGACTGTCCGCTGTCCATGTCATCTGTCTGCAATGGTAGTGCGCGAAGCGTGCAATACCATTCCAGACATATGCGAGGAGTTGTTACGAAAAGTAGCAACTTTCATATACAGTAGTCCCAAACGTTCGGCTATATTCCGCGAATTTCAGCAATGTTTTCAAACAACCGACAGAAAAATTTTAAAATTGTGTTCTACGCGATGGTTATCGCATTATACATCCGTAGTTACACTTTTAGAGAATTGGGACTCTGTATTGCTTTTTTTGCAAGAATTGACAATAAGCGAGAAATCAGAGTCCGGGGAACGTCTGTTAATCTCGATGCAAAATCCAGAGGCCAAAGCATATCTTTATTATCTAAATTACGCTCTTGAGTTTTTTTTATAAATTTAGCATTTTCTTTCAAACTCAAGAGACAGGAATTCATTTGCTTCAAAAGACTGCGGCAGAACTTTTATGCGATATATTACGCAATTTTCTGAAACCGCAGCTTTTGAAACACATAGATCTAGTAAGAATGATGAATTTTTCTGTAGTCGAAAATCAACTTCCATTTAATAGTATAAATTTAGGAACAGAGTGTCTTAATTTTCTGCATCAACTGAATGCAGAAGGCAAGTCCGACATCGTAGAAACCGTAAGGAAAAATTGTTTAATGTTTTATATTACAGCTGCAAACGAGCATGTCTTCGTCGAGCAATTCTTAGCATGTTGTATGTTTTTGAACCACCTTTTATATTAAATGATACAAATAGAGACATTTCCTTCAGAAATGTTCTCTTAATCGCTAAGAAATTCGGCGGTTTCGACGAAGAAGGACTGCAAACAGAATGGTCAGTATTGCCTTTGGAATTTACAACGAAAGGTAGACAGACGCTTATCGAGATGAAATTCGATGGTTTCTGGAAAACAATTTTATTAACGCGAAATTTGGACTATAAAATTAAATTTCCTGAATTGATGAAATTAGTAAATACAATTAGATCACTTCCAAATTCCAATGCCGATGCAGAAAGATTGTTTTCCATGTTACCTGACATAAAAACAAAGAAACGGAATAAACTTTCTTCGGCCAGCGTCAACTCTATTTGCGTTGTGAAATCTTCGTTAAAGGCGCAGAGGGAAAACTCTCAACCCATGGAGGTAGATGACGATCATCTAGCTCTATTGTATTCCAAAAATTTATATCATAGATTTGCTAAGAAGCAAAAGTGTAATTTAAGATTAAACGCAACATATGACAATAACTTTGAGAATTTTCCCGCTACGTCATATGACGAAAATTAAGGTACCGATTTACTACAGAGCTTTTCTCTAGAGAGATTTTTCTCTCCAGAGAAAGGCTCTATAGTAAATTCGTACTATTAGGCTGCAATGACAGTATAAACGTTTTCATGCGAGTGCTGACGTACGGTACGCGACGTAGGCAACAAGGTGTGATGCATGTACCATAACGTCACGCGAAAGCGCTTACACTGCAACCGCAGTCTTGTTAGTGATGTCCAAAATATTTTTTTTTGGACATCGCTAATATGTAAATAGTCGTTCAATTTGTCTCGCGTTGTTACTTTTTTTACGTATTTCGCTTGCTGTAAATACTATTCTGCTTGCTCTAACTATCATTTTTTTTCTTCATTTATTTGCTTATATTTTGCCGTATATTTTTAGTTAGTGAAATTGCTTGCTGTAGATAGTGTGGCTATGACGTAGAATGTCGCGCCTTGTTACACTTACGTCACGGTACCGTAAGAGCAACAATGCACGACATAACGTGCCAGCTTAATCGCAAACGTCCTATCCCGACATCCCATCCTTTGGAAATGTAAACAATTATATCATTTTTCCATTTTTATGGCTCGTGTGTATATTAATAAAAATTAATGCATTCACGAGTTAGTTTTTCATTATATTGTAATTTCATTACATTAATAAAAACATTTTAATATACGGCATGTGATAATGTTACAAAGAAATAACAATTTTTTACATTTCCCTCCTGATGGAAGTGACCACCACCTTCCCGTGGTTTCCATTGAACGGTAGCGTGCACGTTATTCTTTTACCTATCGTTACAATTATTTTGTTATGTAAAGTTAAGTCAAATATATAACATTTGATTGTGTGTAACAATTTGATACGGTTATTAAAAAACATAGTGGGAAAAGTCAGTAGTAATCTATTTCTGTAGCGTGCACGGTACTGGCTAAGAGTGGTTTTTCATTTTAATTAACCCTTAATTAACCCTTTACGAGTAAGACTGCTTTGAACAACATTATTCTAAA